ATGGTACAGGCCATAGCAACGGGGGGAATGCACGACAAATTATATACCTAATTCTCAACCAGGTAAATGAATACTACCACTGCTGGCCCACAGGCCAGAGCAAATGAATAACATCATTAATAAAGACCTAATCTCATTGAAATCTGTAGCCCTTTTTCTGCTTCACACTCTTAACACACGTCCTGCAGCTGTACCCACTCCACCCAGCATCTCATCAATTCCCCAAACCCCACCACCACCATGAAACTGCAACACAGGATCACTCGAATGCTGTGTTCATACATTTACAGTTACATATGACACATTGGAAATTGAGAGTAGGTTGACATTATGTTTTATGAGCATTTAAGCAACAGATTGTAACACGTGTCAAGATCAAGATAGAGCATCCCTATATATTTTCCTTGTGATAGCGAGGTGACTGGTCGAGACAGAAAGCAGGAAGGTTTTAGTTGTGGGGATTTGTCAGTGAAAGTAGAGGAAGAGTACACGGTGTTAGACGTCAAGAAAGAAAGATACAGATACTCATTTGGTGGAGTATCGCAACATAGTAAATCCCCCTGTGATATTTTGAGATATTTTATTTGCAGTAAGAGCCCCCCGCTCCCCACACCTTTCCCCTTTCAGCTGTTTGTAATGAAGGATCGGCTCACCCAAATTACAAAAAAGAGAAAAAAGAAAGAAATTCTCACTTACTGGGGACACTATTTTGGGGAAAAGATGTTGCTTATTATTTGTTTTAATGTATTTTCTCAAACAAAAAAAATGTCATTGTATTGAGTTGGCTGCAGAAATCTCAGAGATGGGGATATAATAAAGTGAGAAATGTATTTTGTTTTTGTAATTTGGGTGAATGACCCTTTAAAGTTCCTTCCCTACACCAGATTAGAACCCCCAACATTCCCATTTGTTGCCTCCATGCTGCAGCGCTCCTTGCCATGTTTAATGTTGCACCATTTCGGAATATTTAGTTCATAGAGGTGATGACGCTTAATGAGTCTTTTTTTATTGTCATTAATGTGTATTTGTATCACCCAAAGTACATTGTTATATATTTAAAATGACACAATTTTTCAGATTTCATTTGATTCTGTAGTTCTTAAACTCTACTTTTAATTAGCAGTTACTTCACTAATGATAGGAACGACAAATACTAGTTTCACCTTTGTGGGGGGGTTGATCACTGATTAGCCACTGAGAAGCAGCAGACTTTCTCCAAGACTTTCCTTAGCCATTTATCACACCTGTTGATCACCTCCTCTTCGTCTCCAGATTCCCTCCTGGTGTCGTGGGCGTTGCCCCCGGCGGGATTCCCGGACCTGTGGAGGGGTTGGTGCCTGGGGGAGTGCCCATCACCCACACCCTGCCCCCTGGTACCCATCCGTCACAGGCCACTTCCCCCAACCAACCCGCCAAACATGGCAACCACATGAGAGAGCACATGACTGAGCCGTAGGACTGCTGCTGCCGAGCGAAGGGGCCGATGTAAACTAAAACCCAGCAACCTACCAACTCTACCATCCAGCTGTACGCTTGACTTCAGCCATCTGAACCTACCAGCAGACTGCCTGCCGGGCAACGTTTCACATGTTTTCTTTTTGTATGAAACCACTAAGCCCTCGTGAGGACAGTGGACGTTGATACACACATGAGCTGCCACACTGAGATGGGACTGACCGTCACATTCATGCGCCGAAAGATCTGAAACCTTTCCTCCCCCATATCTGTTTTTCTTCATTGATTTAAGTGGGTATTTTTGTTGTTTTTATCTTTATTTTTCAGAATATTTTAGGGTTATTCCTCCTCACTTCTGGGACACGTTGACATTACCAAGTGCAGGATGGAAATCTGACCCACCCTCCCTGGTTAAAAGGAAGAGCTTGAAGGGACAGTGACTTCAAAAACGCTCCGTCCAGCCTCCGTTTCCCCTCCGCCCCCCTCAATTTCACCCATTTCAGCGCAAACGTGTCTTGAGTTATTTTGTGTTTTTTTCTTCTTCTTCTTCTGTTTCTCTTATATTCTGTGTTTCTGTTGCAAATATCTGTTTTTCTGTTCGTCAGTGTGTGAAAATGAATGGATTTATACTTAGACATTTGTTTAGCAGACAAGAAAAGTCAGCTGTAATGCAGCATCTGCCGTCACCATCAGAAATCAGGACTCCATCTTTGCTCTTTTCTAAACGTCGTGGCTGGGGGCCCCTGAATGTAGAGACAAGATGTGGGGCAGCAGACGTGGTTTCCACTTCCTGAAAGAATATTTTGGCTTATGAGGTAAAAATGACCCTTTTCAACCAAAAAACAAACAAAAAGAATACAAAAAGACTGCCATTAGTGGTTAGATATTGTACATTGAGTGTGTCACCTCAATTAAATATTGCTGTTGTAACTTTTCCATCTCTGCTGAACTGAGGTACCTACGATGTTTGGTTAATGTCCCAAAAATGATCTGTTCGCATCCGAAGGACCAAAGGACCTACAGTAGCCTACATTGCAGCACCAGCTAGTGAGGTAGGAAAAAATAAAAACAGTAAATGTCTTACTGACTCAGGAAAAACAAAAGATGAACCTTCAAACATGTCCAAATCTGAACAGAAAAGAAACCAAGTCTGGATTATTGCTTTTCATGTCTCCACCTCTTTCTCCATTGTGGTATTTTTGTTTAATATATCAAATGTACGTTTTTTGATGTTCATGGTTTTCAGTCTTGTTAGATTTGTATTACCTTGTTAAATGTTCTTATAATCATAGTCTTATGTGAATGACCGCACCCTCTCCTCCTTATAGTTTCTCTGTTTTTCCGCTCTAATGAAAGCCAGCTGTGGCTCTCGGAGGCATCGTGCCCTCTGTGAACAACAGCAGCCACATACATCCCTTTTAGTCCCATGACCTTAGCAAGAGACGGCTGCTAGCAGATTGTTTGGTTGTTAGTGTGAGTATTTGTATTTGTTTCTTGTACAAGGTGAACATATAGCATACAGTGCAGCTGGTAACAATAAATAAAACTTTGTTGATTGATGATTGGCTCTGTGGAACATTTGTGGAATACCTTGACACTTATTTAAAAGACCCTTAAAACTCTCTGAACCAGGGGTTTGCAAAGTCTGACACTGTCAGTAATGTACAAAAATTAAAGGATTATTGTGAAACAAACGAAGTTAATATTCTTTCTTATTTCTATTTGGTAGGTAATCATTTAGAAAACAGATCCCATAATGCTTATCAGGAAGTGTATTCTGTGAGTTATGCTGTGAGTTGTTTGAGTCCCGTTGTTTTAGCCTATATTTGTTTACATTTTGGCAAATTGGCATCATTTAAAGTATGCCGAATTAGCTATTAGCAGTTCCTCTTTGCAATGTACAGACAACTATCACTGGATTACTTTGATACTAAAGAAAACCAATAAACGTTCTGATTCTTAGGCAAGTTCTGGAGTTATAAGAGGTGTCTTTTTTCTGTGATTGCTAAGCAGATTTACGGACGTTTATATGTGATGGACATCAGAGATAATGAGTTCCCTGGAAAGTGCAAGTCACCCTGGATCTGAAAATATGTGTATCGTGTGTTTAGATTTTAGTTTGTTTTCAAGAGAAGAAGCAGTACATTCTTCAAGGAATTTGCAGCCATCAAACGCCAAGGGTTTTTAAGTAAGTTACCATAGCTAATTTTCCTCCATGAGATTTGGACAAACTACTCCTAATTCCAACTTCCTGTGTTTTTTTGAATGCCTCATAGTTTGAAATTCCCTGCTCTACACTACCCGCATTATTATATTTATACACATGCTGTGTGTGGTGTGCACATAGCATAGCATTTATAAGCAGTAAATAGCGGCTATAATCAATATATTTTTATACAATTTGATCACATGACAACTTGTGACCACAGTTCGTCATCACCTTAGACTGTAATGATCCCCATCACTATTTTAATTACATTCATGTAATTTAATTCAGTTAAATGTAATAAGTTATATAATAAACATTTCATTTAATTGACCAAATTTTATTAAATTCATTGATCTATGAATCGGTTAGTTATATTTTGTATGATCAATCTGAATTTGCAAAGAAACTAAGTAAAGTTATCAAAATGTAGTGGAGTAAAACAATATTTGCCTTTGAACTGTAGTGGAGTAAAAGTAGCAGAAAATGGAAATATTCAAGTAAACTTTTGAAGTAGATCTACTTAGTCACACAGTGCCAGTCAAAGGTTTGGACACACCTCATTCAATATTTTTCCTTCTTTTTTCTACATTGTATATTAATAATGAAGACAGCAGAACTATGAAATAACACATGTGCAACTATGTAAGCAAAAAAAACTAGACAAAGCTAAATACGGTTTGGAGTTTAGATTCTTCTAAGTATCCACCTCTTGCTTTGATAACAGCCTTTGAACCCTCATTACGTCAACCAGCTTTATAGTCAATTACCGAAACTGAATTAGAGAATTTCTTAATGCGTTTGAGACAGATCAGTTTTGTTGTGGCGAGGCAGTGTTGGAATACATACAGTAAATAGCCCTGTTTGACTCCTGCAGTAATCCATTGTGGCAAGAACCGCTCAAAGTGAAGTGACAGACAGTCCAATATTACTTTTAAGACATGAAGGTCAGTCAATAAGACAATTTCAAGAACTTTGAAGTGCAGTCAAAAAAAAAAACCCCCATCAAACACTGATCATGGGAGAAGTTATTGACAAATTCATTACTAAATAGTTTTTTTAAAATGTCCTTATAACGGCTTAGAATTACATTAAAGTGCGTTATAAAGCATGTATTAATTATTTATAGTGCTACTAAAAAGTGTCAATTTAAAATCCACTAGAGGGTGGTACAGAAGCTTCACCAACTGAATAATTTAATTACTGTGAAAGTGAGTCATATTTAAAGTCAAATCTAGTGATGTGATGATGACAGGTTGTATTAAGTGTGTAAAATCACAGCATTAACTGATACGTGAAGCAACAGAATTGGTAACTAAGAATATCAGACGGGCAACAGTTTAGTTGGACATTCAAAAAGGTTTTCCTTTTATTATTTTTTTCCTTATTTGCCTGTTCTTTGCATTACACTCTGTATAGTGAAGTCAGGCCTAAATCCACAAACCATCATGGTCACAACTGCAACTATTGCATAAATACAAAGCAACATACAGGTGATGCTCAAAACATGTATGACTTGAATGAAACACGAAAGAGGTTACAGTACACAATGGCGAGGAAGAAACAAAATGCAATCAGTCACAGCAAAACAAAAAAGTAACGACAACTTCTATTTTTTGTCTTTTTTTCCTCTGTCAGCTTTGGTTTTATATGTTACAGTCTCTCACAAAGACCTTCATCAAAAACTTAAAAGATGGTTCCACATAAGGACAGAGGAGGTGAACTGACGTGTACCATGAGGGTGACAACAAACGCTGTAAGGAAAAAAAGGGAAATAGAGGAAGTAGGAAACGACTACAAGACAAGTGTGACTCTGGATTTATGTCGACATTGAATGAGCCTCACGCCCACACTCGCCTGCCCAAGAAAAAACAAAAGCACCACATTTTGGGCATCCAGAGGAGGTACTAAATCGCACGCAACGACGCAAGTAAACCTGTCACTGATGGTCATGATTGGTTCTTTCCTCACAGCAACAGTGCTTCTGTGCAACGTGTCTTCATCAAGATTGAGAGAATAATTAACAAACCCACAAAAAGGAGAAGAAAAAATATACAGAAAGCTCTTATTAGCTCAAATATGTTTCCAAACAATAAATATGTAGAGTAAGTTCAGAGAAGAAAAACCACACACTCGTGTGCGCACACACACACAAACACACAACTTCTCGGCTCAATCAGTCTGGGAAAAAAAACAAACAAAAAAAGGGTAAACCAAAGATCCAACATGATGTATGTGTGCTAAACCTCCATGAGTGTAGATTTGACTTGTAAAGGGAACATCTCCCTTTTCAAGAGCTTCATATATAACCTTAATTCAAGCTATGATATTGTATTTATATAGAAATTTTTAATAAATGTGCAGTGCTTAGTAATAAGGAATAAACTTATTTATTATTACACAATCTCTGGTTGTCTAAACGTAATGTTATTTATTGGCTTTGTCCCTGCCCATTCAAAAACAAAATGCTAAAGAAGCGAACTGTTTTACAACTGGAAAAAAGATCAAAAAGATCAATTTGGAAGTGTGCTTTTTGTCAGTGTTCATACTGAACGGATATAAAGTGTTGATTTAAATCAATGCTGGTATATTTCCTTATACTCTTTTTTTTTTTGTTTAAACAACCACATGCATTTACATCTATGGATAAAGATTCCTTTTTTTCCCCCTTTACATTTGAAAATCAAAAACAAATCAAAAACGTCATTCGCATTCGTAAACCTTTATTCTCTCCCCCAAATCTGTGTTTGGCAGCATTGGAGTTTGTCAGTCTCAGGTTTGTCCGGGATAAAGTGTTGAATGTGTTTTAAGTGTATGTTCGAGTGCCTGCGTGTGCTAGAAGAGTAGCGGTGTCTTCCATCCGAGGTGGAAGGTGAGTTTGGGGGGGGATTACGTTTCCCTGTCCTCTCCTGAAGGCTGACACAGTTTGTCCGTGTCAGGAAAGGAAAACAAAAAATAAAAGGATAAACTGTAAGAGAGGAGGTGGAGGAGTCCTGCCCCCCCCGCTTCAGTTTTGTCACTCGTCATCATCGTCTTCCTCCTCTTCGCCGTCGGATAAAGAGGCGCAGGGGCGGATCTGCCTGTAGCCGTCTAGCCACTTCTCCACCATCTGGGTGACAAGCGGGTGGTTGCGGCGGCGGGAGCTTTTCTGAAGAGCCACCAGAACCCCGCCCTCCGTCACACAACAGTCCAACCACTCCCGCAGCAGCTTCTCCTGTTGCTCTTCATTACCCATCTGAAGCACAGGAGGAAACAAATATGGCCGTTAGAGAGAGCTGTATTGCTAAATTCAGGATATCATATACTCCTGCTGCAGCACTGTCTCTCAAATAAGTGTTGATACAAAGGAGGAAAACCTTTTGCACAAAGTATGCGAAAAAACAGGTTTCATGCCGATAACAAAAAACCCCAACAAAAATCATTAGCTAAATTTAAAAGGACAAACAATAAGAGGGGGAGGTCCTTACTTCCTGAGCAGAGAGGAAGTGAATGTGAAGCAGTTTCCTCTCACTGTCAACCAGCGGCAGGAACGTGACCGTCACGTCATCGTCTGTGTTGAGGTTGGCGCCAGCGCCACGATTGTCGAAGCCATCGTTCTCCATGGCAACCAGTGCTGAGAAGTGGCCCCGAGTGTAGCCCAGAGCAATGGGGCTCTTCCAACAGAAACTCTGCTCCCACAAAAGGGGCAAGTACACACCTAGAGGGAGAAAAACAGAATTTGTTTTGTTCATTTTCAGCAGCGTGGGGTAAAGGTTAACAGACTGATTCTACGACATGTGATTATCTTTGTTTTTCAAGATTTTGTTTCAGTGTCATTACTGTTTAAAACCAATTTTACAGTTATTACACAGTCTAGTGATGAAATACATCATTAATTATATGCGTTGGAAAAATAATAAACTGTATAGTTATATCAAGTGTGACATCACTTTATCTTATTATCTCAATTTTCTGAATAATGAATTATTTGCATCTTGAATAATTAATTCCTCTCAAAGTGGCATGACTAATATTTGCATAATTAGTGTTAATTACCACCTCAGAAACATTGTTTTTGCATTTTTGACCTGATTCAGAGTTCTCTCCTTGGTCTTTAGAGGTTTTGGTGTTAAGTGTAAACTGCTTTTAATACAGTAAAGTTTTTACAGCTTTGTTCAAGGGAAAACTGCCTTTTTGACTAAAGAATACACTTACACAATACACTAGTATTTTTGTCTTTCCCCTTCAATATAAAACTCTCTTATACACATGTTCTTTAGATAATGACATGACTTAAGGGATGTCATTAAGTGATACTATTTTTTGCTGCAAAACTGACATTAAAAAAGCGTATTATACCCTTTTATTCTCCCAACTTGTCTTGCGTTGTCATAAGAAATACCCAGTGATGGAACAAGTAGTCATAACTGTTACAATAGTAAATGTAATGATACCACAACCCCATTACACGGAAAAGTCCTGCATTCAAAATCAGAATACTTTATTGATCACAGAGTGGAAATTTGTTTCATTACAGTTGCTCCCGTAACACGGCATTAAAGAAATAAATAAAAAATAAATACATATAAAAAATATAAGTAAAAATCTAAATATGGGTGTGTAGAATTATGTACAGATAAATAGTAAATTAAGCATAGTACACAGAATTTTAATTACATAAAAGACTAAATGTATTGTGTCCCAAATGTATTATAGTATCAAAAGTACCAATTATGCAGCAGATTGGCCTCTGACTGAGTTACATTATAGGATTATTTTCACTGATGCATAAACATGGATCTAAGCATTTTAATGTAGATGGTCAAGGTGGGTCTGATTTTAACAGTTTTAAAAAGTGTTCATATGTTTTGAATGTAAAATCTTTATCTGCAGTCACTTAAGTAACTTAAAAGTAGTATTTATTCCCTCTGAAATGTAGTGGAGTATATGTATAAAGTAGCAGAATACGGAAATGCTCAAGTAAAGTACAAATATCCCAAAACTCTAAATGCATTTAGTTACATTCCACCACTGGAGAGGTCCTAACACACGGTCACTCTTAACTACAGAATGAGATACTGGTTATACGCCAAACAATGCAGTAAAAACAATGCAGACAGTATTCATGTCTCATATTTCTTCTGTTCCATAATACAAAGCAGCTCTCGCGCCTCATGAATAGCTCTGTAGCTGACACCACAATTAAAAAGCCTCTGTTTAACTTCTCTCCCATTAACCACTGTGTTTTTACTGGTTTCACTTGGTCATCACTTGAAACTTAGCTCCCCTCCCCTCCCCACAGGCGCCCAAATGCACGCCCTCTTTTCTGCATTTTACATTGGCTCCAGGCAACAGTAAATCACTGGTCTATCAGGCATACTTTACCACAAACAGTTGGCCATTACAGAGCACTTTCATCATCCCCTGTACAGCATCACTCAGCAGGCAAACTGAATCCAGGCTGTTTTTATTGCTAGCCATAAACACAGACCCCGCTCTCCACTTTCGCAGGATTGTTTGACTCGGGGTTCTGATGGTTTACATATGTTCACATGTATCTGGACGTGTGTGTGTGTAACACTTTCCCTGCATCACAATAAACTCCTAATTTCGCTCCTATGATGGGCGGGGGTGTTTTTGTAATGTTATTTTGAGTCAGACAGTCCTAAAATACCCCTTAAATGAAACACACTAGACTGATACATGTTGTAAATAGCAATTACGGACAGATCAGAGGGGCAGTTATGTCAGCTATGTAAGCTATGCAGACACACGCGGGCTGGAGCTATTTCATAACGGCAGTCTAGTACTTCTCCACCCACTGGGCTGGAGCTGCACTCAACATTTAATGATATCTGACCAAAATAACATTAGACCAAACTAACGGCTCACCTTGAAAACGAGTGTATCCGAGTGTTTCGCCACGGAAACTTTTGTAATACTTCACTCCGTAGACGATAATAGGCCTGCGAAGTATGTGTGCAAGAACGAAAATGTGGGTCTGCTCCAAGCTGGATCCTGGCTGTAAAAGAAAGCACAACAAGGGGGGGGATTATTAGAAAGGCGAGGTCAGTGAAACTACAAAGCAAGGACTCTTGAATACTGTACAGTCCCTCTGCCAAGTTACCCCAGCATACTCCAAGTAATTAAACATGAAAGACACACACACAATTACTGTGCTTTCACACCCCGCCCAAATACTTAAGTCTATGAGGTCACGCAGAGCAGGGAGAAACAGTTAAGTGCTGATGATAGACAGGATGCACTTTCAGAGGGCATTACAGATTAAAGTACACTGTAGTGAGCGCAGTAAAGCTCCTTGCATAATTCATACATCATTAAGTGTGTCACATTTTAAGCACATCAAGCTCCTGGCCTCCATGTTAATGTGTGTATTTGCTTTCATGTGTGTGTACCTGACTAGCCAGGGAGAGGATGAAAGCCCAGTCCTCCTGCCACTGTTCCTCTCGGAGTGAAAAGTGCAGGCCGAAGCTCTGGGAATACCATGACTCCCACTCCTTCCAGCGCGTGTAAAACCTGCAGACCATGCACACACACACACACGCGCGGTTTTGACCTCTCTGCGCAGAAAGGCTGCTATCCACTGCATTCCTCCATCTCTGTTGTGGCTTGGGGTTGGATGGCAAATTCTCATTATATCTAAATAATATTTTTTATCACTGAAAAACCCACAGTTTTTCAGAAATAGACATGAGTCACACTGGGATGTTATGTTCATGTAAAACCAGCCTCAGGCCTTAAATCGTTTCAGTGATCCCAACCTGACACTAGAGTTTCTTTATCTCCTCTAAAAATGTGTGTCTTCTGAAACTGGTCTAAAGTCCTAGTCAAAATCCTCTCGTTTCCAGATTAAAGTCTCAGATCAGATGAGCCAGCAATCCAAACTTCAGATTCTGGGTATGTATCCCATCGTCTAAACCTCATGCCCCAATTTCCAACATAGTCATCAAATGATAAAGGATAGATATAGATAGAATGTCTCCTCGACTATAGATAGAGACGTTTCAGCCGTTTCTGTGTCCTCGCTCGAGACACTAAAACCTCTACCTGCTCATGTTTTGTAAACATTTATGTAAAACAGGTGGCTAACTGTTTAAAGTATAAGGATAAACATGGATCAGATATGGATGTGGGCATGGATTTGCTATTGGTGTAACATAACTGCTGCAATGGTCGAGAATTTACTGTAAAAAAAAAAAACACCTGTTGATTCAGTCTGTAGTGTATTATATATATACACACATACACACATAAAAAACCTTGCCATTCATCAACTCACCAGCACTAGCTGAAATTCCTCTCCTCTTGTCTCCTCTTAATCTGTGGTGCATTATATTATGTAATCTGCTAAGTTTGAATATGACTAAGACAAGATGCAAATCAGCACACCATACTGTTCAGGTGATGTTTTAAAAGTACTACAACATACTGTAATCTGCACTACTATTCCTTGGTCTGCAGGCCTCACCAGTGAGAACAGTCGTGCAGGCTGTCGTGGAGGGTCTTGCGGAGCACAGAGTCCTTGTCGTAGATGCCCCATGTAGCCTGCAGCACAGAGTCGAGGAGACAGTCCCCGGCCGTGCGGTTCCACAGGGCGTACAGCCGACTGTCCAGCCTAGTCCCGAGCTCCAGGGACCAGTTGATGATGGGAGACTCCTCTTCGAGTTCTGAACAAGAGGGGAGCAAAGTTGAGCACTGCATCTCTCTGCAAAATCTCTCAGTGGTGCAAATCACCTCAAAGAGTTCAAGGGTTGTTTATATGCCATAGTGGGGTTATTTCTCAAGTTGCAAGACAGGTGATGGCATAATGACAACTAACATCTTTCACATACTGATGTCTTCATAAGTCTGCATGTAAACCGCAAAATTGGGCGACTGCAAGAAGTCAGGGTACGGCAGGAAACCAGATAAGATTTACAGTATACAGATACGTTTTACTGTACATGCTAATATTTATGACAAAAATTAGAGGCAAAGTGCAAGTGAAAGCGTCAACGGTTGTTTTTTTTTTGGTTAATAATAAAAGTGTCACACTTAGCGTGCTGCTATTACTTGTGCAGCTCAGTCTCTTGCATTGCTGCTTGCAGGTGAACGCCGTCTGATTTGTTCTTCTGTATAGTGTTACAGCGATGCAACTGGCAACACATGAAACAGCACGTTGTTTTCAAAGTGGAAGTCTGATGGTTGAATGCTTTGAAGTCCTCATGATCAGTTCTCAGATTTCTACTCAACCTTCTATCATATTTTTGTACCAGTGCTAGTATATTTAAATGCAATTACATTAATATGTTCTGAAATCTCTAAATGCTATGATGCAACCACTTTAACTGAGTTTCATTGGGGTTGTTTTTTTTTTAAACACAAACCGTCTAGCAATAATCCTCCACACTTTTTTCTGTTTTTTTACCCCTGGAAATGCATGCACACCATGCTCCCTTAAGAAATTTGGTGAAGAGTTTACATGGCCAGGTAATCAGGTTTTAAGCTGTGTTGACTCACCTCATCTTACATTTATTCATTTAGCTGACTAGGGGTTAAGTGTCTTGCTCAGGGACACAATGGTGGATGTTGAACCCAGGTCTCCCACACCAAAGGCAAGCATCTTATCTATGCGCCATCACCACCCAGTTAATCTTAATCCCTTCACCTCAAAACCGGGACTTGGTTTTCAGTTCACTTTTTTGTGTTTCTGCTGAAAGAAAGGATCTTGAAAATAAGAATTTCTGTCTCTTTGTACCTAAACTGCTGTGCCCAATATTTGACACGTTTGGCTGATTATGATGTGGGCTTTGCAGATCATTGGCAGACTTTCTGGGGAAAACCTGGTCTGATTCAGGGAGATGGCATTCATCCCAATTGGGATTGAGCAGCTCTCAAATCTAGAAGTCTGGCCAAGTTTATTAGTGAACCAAATGCAGGACTATCCAGAGTTGAGACCAGGAGGCAGAGTGTACTTCTCTGCCCTTCTATTTCAACAGTTACCCACCCAAAACCATTTGCAGAGTTTTTGTCAACTTTAGTCCTTAACACAGATTTTAATATTCATGTGGATGTTGAGAATGATACCCTTAGTACAGTATTTATCTCTATTAGATTCAATTGGCTTCTCTCAAAGTCACTGTTTTAACCACACCCTCGTTCTGGTATATGGTACTGAAATTGAACATTTAATAGTTTTCCCACAGAATCCCTTTTTATCTGACCTCTATTTGATAACTTTTGAGTTTCTCTTGCTGAAATCCATGGCATTAGGCAAAAACTTCTATACGAGATGTCTATCTGATAGTGCTGTAGCTAAATTTGTGCATGTTCCATTCCATCACCTTTTCATTCATTATCAAGTCACAAAGTAACGGAGGACTCCTATGCTAATTTCAGTCCCTCCCAAATCCGTCTTGTTGATAGTGTTGCAGGCTCGCTGCAGATGGCCGCCCACCCTGAGCCATGGTTCTGCTTGAGGTTTCTGCCTCTTAAAAGGAAGTTTTTCCTTGCCTCGGTCGCCTAGTGCTTGCTCTTGGTGGGAATTGTTGGGCTTCTGTAAATAATTTCACAGAATTCGACAATCATTCACTGGGGATCAGAGAAATCCCTAAAACTCAATTAGGCTGATTAGGGTAGATGCAATTGGTCACGCGATAAAGACATACCGCCTGGCAGAGCGACAACAGTCAGGCAAAACACTGTGTTGGAAAATACAAGTAACTGCCTTCCTGTTACTGTACAGTCTGTGAAGGGGCTCCCTCTGTTTGCCAAACCGCCAGACCATCGGTGTCACCGCGGATCTGGTCTCTCTCTCTCTCTCTCTCTCTCTCAAAAGCATGTGATAGATGCTACTGCGACACCAGGTCTTAAGAGTTGATTAGAGTAAATATTTCACCTTTTTGTACGTCTCGGTCCAGCACCTCATCAAACAGCTTTTCCTGAACGGCTGGGGGCAAGTCCTCGATGTCTGCAATAAGAAGACAAGAACTTCAAAAAATCAAAAGAGGAGGTTATCAGAGGAGACACAGGCGTAGGGGAAGCAAAGTCTTAAGAGTTATTCACATTCTATTTGATAAATGCATTATTTATCTACTTAAACTAGCTACAATGACTTATAAAGCCAACTAGAAAATGTTTCTGTCGTGGCTGATTTCAACTCAAGCCATCATGTTTTGTTCTTTCTACAGTTGCATCTGGCTTTCACTGCATGCCCAGAGCTCTTGTTAACACAGTAGCTTATTCTTTGGCTAAAATAAATGAATGCATTGACTTTGTGGAACTGAACAGAATGGCTTTTTATAGTGGCCAGAAGCCAAAGTCTGCATTGTCCTGAACACTCTGCATAACAAAAATCCTTAGCTTAGCTGCTAACAACAGACTGAACCATAATAGCTCCTCCACACAATGAAGAAATAGCATTGTATGCATGCAATTTTACAGAGAGAAATTGAAAAAAAAAAAAAAAGCTAAATATGGCTTTGTTATGAACGAGGGACATGCACCATTGGCGGGCTGTTATACTCAGTATGCAAGAACAATACTCAAACAGCGAGCCAGAGGTAGCCTCCGTCTTCGGGCAGTTGGAAACAGACAACCGTAGCATTATGTTCCCTCAGCATTCAAACAACAAGCAATCTCATATGCCACAAGTAAACAAAACAAGCATTCTATCACACACTTGGCACGCCAGAGGGGATGGCTAGACTGTGTTTCTTCAGCTACAGAGTTTTAAGTTCCCCCTTATACAAAACACAGAAAGTATACTTTGACGGCTTCTGGAATTCACATTATGATAGTGCACAGTTGTTTTTAGTCGATTTTCTTCCACCAAAGAACCCATATTTTTGTGCATATTTGTTTGCTGATGATGTGCTGACCTGCTGGAAGGGTGAAGGTCACCAAGTCAGTGAGGAAATAGCAGGTGAAGTCACCCTTGCGCTGGTGAAGGGAGGCTGCTACCTCTCGACGGATCTGCTCCGTTAGCTCAGGACACACCATGGCTGGAATACACTTGGCTGCCTGCTGGGACACCTGCAGAGATGAGAGGATACAGGGAAGGAAGCTTAATCTAAATCAAGAGGATATGTGCCTGAGACTTGAGCACGAGGCCTTTTACCAACTGTGAAAGGTCGTATTTCAAAAGTGACCACAAAATTTAAAATGGCTGTATCAGCTGCCTCGAATAAGTCACTTGTCACGTTGATAAAGTGGATATCTAAGATCTGATCAAAAAAGTGTTATTGGTACAAGAGAAAGATTAAGAGACCATCTGTAAAGAAATCACTTTGTTTAAAACATACTCCATAAAAAGGCAGTAGTGGCAGAAGTCAGGTTGGACCCCTGCATCTTTAAAACATAAGAAAAGAAGTCAATGCCAGAGGGTAGGTAGGGTAACTGTTCACTATTAGTGGAAATTCTGCAGGGATAATGTATACAGGGCATGTAAATTGAGCCTAAGAGATGTTTTCAACAAGTGAAAGTGTAAAATTGCTAAGAAAAGAAGGAGAAATTAGGAGGGTAAAGATGCAAAATTCTGACAGGGCGATCTCAGATGTCTTGCAGTTATATTATATACATTTCTGAAGTTGAGAAATTCAGTTGCAATTACAGCATTTGCTTGGGCTAGCGATGGCTGCTGAATGAATTTAGGTTTTGCACATATACAGTAAGAGCAACGTGGCTCTGAGTGAAATTATTTTTGCAGCACAGTTGGAGCCTGAATACTTTCAAAGCCACTGCTTTCTGGGCGTTTGGGTGGGTGACTCTGATCTTTGCCATTTTTACTTTCGCTCATCAAATCTATCTTGCCTCTAGGACAAGAGGGAAAAAAACGATGTTCAAGCAGTTTTCAGCTTTGAAGCATTTTCGGGAGCATGATCCAGAGGTTACTCCCTGACCCCATCTGCAATGAAACTGGGACAGCGACTGAGTGTGGGAGGAGAGGTGTGTGTAAAGATAATCTGGGATCACAGTGCTGACAACAACCACGCTGCAATCAGCCTCAGCACATGCACACCACATACACACGATAGCTTAGTGAGCCTTCTTGTTACAGAGACACCAGGGAAACCATATTTTTAACAAAACACTGGATATAAAAAGCACTTACAACATACTATAATTACTAATATACTAATGGCTATCACACTGGAGAGCAGGGCGTGACATTACAGTATGCTCTGTGCACCAGGCTTCTTTAAATCTGTCCTCCTGCAAACAGAGAGGGGAGTTTGTGGCTGAATCTCTTTTCCTCTCTACAAACCCTTTGCCCTTGTAATTCCTCCCGGTTGATCGCACTGGATGGTGAGATTAAGAGACATAAGAAAAGGCTGCATGATTTCTGACCAAAAACAAGCTGCAATCATACCATAATTCAAGGGTTTCATTTCCAATTTTTATTAAGATCAGGTTTTCTATAGACATTTGTGTGTTCTAAAACAAGAATGGGTTATGCTTTGTTTGAAGTTCTCTGCATGTTCAGTCTCATCTAATTTATGTCCTCCAGTTAAGTTTGTAAATTGCACAAAATTATTATGCTCAATGCTATTGAGCACGAGAGGGAGCACGAGAAACAAATGTGAGTGATGTAACATGACTGAGAGAAGGCCTAAAATTTGTATCTGCTGCACAGAATGATCCACACTGATCTATGATCTGTTTAAAGTGGTAGAGTCTAGTGTGTGGTCGCAGTGTAAACAGAATTCAAAAAGATACCTCTCCATCAGCCAATTCCTGGGACGGGTGATTTCTGGAAGAGTAACAATCTATTGGTTACTGACCTCCGTGAGTAAAACAGCCAGCATGTCCTGTCTCTGGAAGCGGATCGCGAGGTGGACCAGCGTGAAGCCGTCATCAAATGCTGAGGGCCGATTTAAAAGGCGCACTTCGTCTGATGTTAGCTGTCGTGCGATGTCACCTCCCGATGACTTGTAGGCCTCCACAGCTGCCAGGTCACCTTCCACAACACCTTTCAGACAAAGAGAGAAAAGGAAAAAGGTCACATTAATAAATGGCCATGTTAGACACCATTTTAAAGTGAAGAGTTTTTCTTTTGATACTTTTAAATAGAAGACATTCCCCATAGTAGAGCCAATTACACAGACTGCACAAAAAGAACAGTTTGCATTTAATTAAGTCAACATGAGTTAACATTTTTAAAGCATGTTACTTTTTATGGAGACCTTGAAAAAAATCCAGAATTTACAGCATGAAGATTCATATAAAACACAGGGTCTCTGAAGTAAAACAAAAACTTTGGCAGTTTAAATGACATCAGAAAGTGGTCGATAAAATCCCGTCATGACTGTGCACAACAAATGCAAAAATTACTTATCTTCAGAGTAACCTTGTGCAGAGGACATTCTGTGCTCAACCAAAAATTCTAAAATAATAGGGATCAGAATGTGCTTTATCTCTGTCGCAGCTGTAAAAGCCTCGAGACTTTGACGACTTTGAAGTCAAGGGAAAAAGACAATAGGGGGCCACGTTGTAATCTGTCAGTTATTTTTCCCCTTCTTAATCTTCAGGCTTAGATCATAGCATGAGCGTTGAAGGATGCGTTTGATCAGACACACGCAGGTGTTTTCTTTACTTTTTTGCCACAAAGTGCAAATATTAGTAACTGACAGGAGCAATTAATGTCAACCACCGAGTGCACAAACCCAACTACTGACCTATTCACCAAGACAATCTAAAACTATAGAAATAAATACTTATACAGAATAAAACAGACTACAGTCTATACAGTCCAGTCTTTTGCTTTGAAGTGTTTATGCCAAGTAAGTTATCATTATAGTGATCCATCACTAAAACATTTCCCTTAAAACACAAAGAGACTACCTGGATGTTCAACATCCCCCATGAACTCATTCACATTTGATGCTCACACTAAGGAAAAGCAAAAATATTATTCGATAGTCACTGGGAACTGTTTGACCATTCTTGACAGTTGTGGTGGTGTTCACAGTGTAAACAGGAACTTTTTTTCCTCTGTGCAGAAAACACCACTTACAACCTTTAACACTATTACGCTGCAAACTGAGCATCAAGCACATCTTGCAGCGCTGTAGCTGAACTGAACATGCAATACATATGTTTTCCTGCTGGTAAAATAAAAGGACAATATAAAGTATTTGGTAAGACAAGAGAATAGTGTCTTCGATCTAGAAGCTCAGGCATGAACCATTTTTGGTCTATTCTGTGTTTTAATGTAGGAAAGAGTGTGCATGTGGGTACAAGAGTGAACTGTCCTGAGAGGCTAGAGGATGGGGATGTTTGAACAGTTGAAGAACAGTTTAAGGTTTCAGCACCAATGCCAGTGTCGGTTACTGTGATCAAACCAGCGGTGAGATAAAGCCAAAGTTATAAGCTGTTAAAGGAGGATAAAACTATTTGGACAATTGTGTTATTATGACAAAATACATCAAACCTCAAAGTGTAAATTAATTTCATTGCTACGCAGCTGCACAATATTCATCTTTCCATTTCTAGCATACAGTAAATGCCACTGTCGTATTCTCTCGTACATTTGGCAGCATTAAAACACTGTTGAGCTTTTGTTCTCACGTCAAAAGGACCACACACAATGCTCAGCTGCATAATCTGTGTGTGAGCGAGACCGAGAGCGAGAGAGACATGGAGTGGGTGGAAGAACTTGCTGTGCCATGTGGAGCTGGCTAGCACTATGAGAGATGAGGAGAGAAACTACACAATAGCAGCGCAGTGTGATAGAGAGGGATCACAACCACTTTCCACAAAGCGCTCCATTAGTGTGGGTGTGCCTGTAGCCCTGCAGTCAGTACTGTACCCACAGATCCTTTAGAGAACACAGAAGGTGCAAATACGCAAAGAGGCGTACACTTCGAGACAGAAAGATGAGACAGAACAGATCAGGCTAAGTGGTGCTGGTGTTTTCCCTCCAAATAGTCTGTTGTTTTCTTTCAGTAATGTGGACAGCCGTCCGACAAATCTTAGTACTTTAAAAGTCTGCTTGTGATCGGCACGTTTACCTGCTCAACTAGCCACTTAAGCGGGTAATACACCATACTGTATCTGTCTATCGGATATATAGGTGAACAAGGCTGACAGACTTTTAGGGATGTATAAAAGAGGTTTTTGTTTTTGTCGAACTAAGCTGGTCTACCACAGTTAGGATTTCAAACTGGCCAACAGAAACAAGATAAACCACACTGATTACTATACTATCTTGCTCACAACAAAGTATCCTTCCTCTGCCTTCTTATTTTTCCTCAGAAGCAAAAATCAGCTGTTTACCAAGTCATCTGACCTTTACTTTCTTAAAACAAGCAAAAAAAGTGTGCAAATAGGTGAGATTATTTCACCAGTTTCCAACAGAAATTGTTTTGTTTCTAATGGATTGTACCAGGTGCCAAATAAATAAATGCGAATGCTTTCGTAATATTTTTACAATCTGCCTCGTTTTGTCATGTTTCAAGATACGGACACTCCTTTTCAGAAACTTTGCTGAAGCAAGGAAACCTGCACTGGGCAGCTGCACTGACAGGTGAAATTATCTCACCCCACTGGCAGAACTATATATAAGTACTGAAGGTTTTATGTGACACCTTATTAGTTGGGAAGATGGGTGTTATATGCAGTGAACCCAGTACCAATCACTATTTGACAGACAGCTTTTGTAGAAGCTCCCACGGGGTGAACAATCTTCAGGGATTTACAGGAAAATACATTAAGAATAGTCCTTTTTAATATCAGACACTTTTACATGTTCTTTGGTATTGTGTGTGTTGGCTCACTAACATTTCTTTCTTTGGCCGCATTCAGACTTGCTCACATGTGACTCAGATCTGATTTTTTTATATAACAGTGTGCCCAAGTCACATGGAATCTGATCCAGAGTGGATTTGGGCTACTTTCATAAGGTCCAAATCAGATACAGGCTGGATTTTTTTAAAATGCAATCTTAGTCAGGACAGTCAGATCGGAATTCATGATGTCACTCTAGAGTGACTGTGAACATAAACATGGAGGACGGCAGCAACAGAGGTGTGAGTGGACTCTCTTTCTCCTCTTCCTTATTATCATTTGCTCACAAATTCCCTTTCCTCCACCTAAAATAACTAAAATCATATAAGCTAACCTCTATGGCCACCATGTTTACTCCTGTATGACACTGTATTATTCTATTGCACGTGCAGGTCACTTTCAGGTAGGGATATATCAATCCGACTTTTTAAGTCCTGATACCAACGTTGATGTCTGGGCTTTGGGTATCAGCTCATGCTGAATACCAATGCGATACCAGTGTAAAATTAATAAGCTGTATTTCTCATTGTGAGGAAAAGACTAGGAATCATTCATCATGTGTAAGGCTATGTGCAGCCTTTTATTTCATGAAGCTCTTGCCATCTTTTTCTCTTCCTCCGTCAACATCCTCTTTTCGGTCTCTTTGCGTCTGCCATTACCTAATGTTATGTCAATAGAGACTGCAAAGACATGCCACTTTCCCCCCGCCGCAGCATAATGTTGCTTATACTTGGGTGTAGGGCTGGGCAATAAAACATTAATGATAATTGTCGTGATATAATTTTCCTCAATAACAAAATAACAAATGTTAAACAAATCTCTGATTTCTCACGAACAAATTAGCAAATTAGCAATAACTTTTCTATTAAGATATTTATTTTGATAATTATGATTATCAGAATTGTTTTGAATGTTTTACCTCAATGTTCTATTTGATCCATCTAAGTGATCCACTGATTGGCAAGTGTTTGTCATTTACCGACCATAAAGAATAATTATCTGGTTTCTTCAACTTTCACCCAGGAGCAAAACCCAGCCTTTAAACTTGAAGAAATAACGAATTGACATTATTGAGATAATTATGGATATGACATTTTTAAAGTTCTGATGAAACAGAAACTGGAGTGCTATTTCCTTCCGTATTTGTATATGTATCCTGGGGCGAATTCAATCTCAAAACTATTTGCACCGGTTTACAACATTTTCAGATTGAACGACACGTTTCCTTACAACGTTGTGCAAAGTTCCGCAACGGGCTTCGTGGTACGTTTTCTCCCGTTTGGTTGGTCCTGTTCAGGCTGTGTTTACCAGAAGGCTGCTGAACGCGGTTTCATTGGCCTCTCACCGCACATTCCGGTGCCGCTAACTGTTACCCACCATCACTCCCTGCTGGGTCCCCCTGCCCCTGGCCATAGACTTTACAAGCCCCCTGGCCTGAAAACCTCCATGGCTTGAGTAAAATGTAATGTTAAACACTAACACTCCCCCAGTGCTCCGAGCTCCTAGTCCAGGCAGAGTCAGCTCATATGACAGCTACCTGAGCTAACTAACAGCAGCTAGTAGCAGTTAGCTGTTACTTTAGCAACAAGTAAAGCTACCTGTTCATCAGCAAACTCCGTAAATCACAGATAGTTGAGGCAGGGCAGCCGAGGGACATTAGAGGGAGAACCAGAAAATATTGTTCTCCATCAAATATGATCCACCTATAAACAATGGGTTTTTTTCCATTGTTGGGCCACATTCTGGTGTATTGGTGACATATAGTGCAAGGCATATGCAATAAAAACAAGTAAACATCGATTTTGATTTCATGGGGACTTTAATCGTGACAACATTTTTGGCCATATCGCCCAGCCCCACTTGGGTTGGGCGATATTTCTAACAAAGCTAGACAGCAACCGTGTGTTATCTAGTAAGTTTGCTAACATCAACTCAAGATGTCTAGCTTGCAGTTAAACATTCTTAAAGACAGCCAGTAGGGCTGGGTATCGAGTGCAATACTTTTTAGGCACCGACCGAACTGCCTTAATACCATTGAGTATCAAAAAATGCCTTGTCTTTCGGTACCAAATTTCGATACCTAAAGGTTCTTGTTAACACCAATGAGCGAATAAGCATGCAGCATTCTTGATGTGCCCACATCTAAAAGTGATCGTAATTGGCTGTGGTGATGTAAACAGTAGTTCACGCCGGTTACGCACAGAGACGTGGCTCGTGGATGTAAAAGACATGGAGAAAATCAAAAGTGTGGTACTTGATTCAACAGTATCACAATATTTGCGACGTAAGATAATTGCTGCCAAGAGCGGCGACACAACAAACCTGGTGAAGCCCTTGACTGTGCATGGAATAAACTTAAGAGCAGAAAGTTGCTCCGTCTTTGCTGCAACAAGACAGAGCCGGTGCAGTCATCGTCTCAGCGCCTTACTGCCACCGAGCCTGCTTCCACATGCCCACCGTAGGATCAGTGTTGGGCAGTAGTGTCGCTACAAGTAGCACCGTTACTAGTTTAACTACTATTTCTCAGTAGCTTGGTGGCAGCGTCGCTGTTTTCTGAATCAAATCAAAGCTCTTTTATTGACCGAGTAGCGCGGTAGCTTCCACACACGCTACATTTTCCCAAGTATTTCTGAAGGATCAGTAAGTGACGCCGCCGCCACACACGGACCTGTATGTGTAGCCGGCGGAAGCGCTTCCGTATGGACGGTGACATCACGTACCAATCCTTGGGCTGATGTCTGCAACTTTGATGCAGGGGAATAAAGACACCAGCGACTGAGTTTACTTTGTTGTTGCCTGGACACCTCTTCCTCTAGTGAGGAGGAAACGATGTAGTGGCAGAAACTTGTTTCCATGAGATGAGATGAGAGATTTCTCTCTCTTTCCCTCAGGCCTATTGTCATGAATGTTCAGGCTGCAATACTGCCGGAGCTCAAATTCACATATATACCATAAAAGATATAATTAATAAACAATGAGATGCCATAAAAACTAAAGAAAGGAATAAAAACAACAAACACACAATATAGGCCTATGTTACATTGAAAATATGTCTTGGTTTTGACAAGCAGTAGAATTTTTCAAAGGAACAATTATTAAAATAAACTATTAATGATAATAACGTGATAAGTTACTTTACAAACAACAATGGTTCTCCGTTTGTTGAGAATAAAATTGGTATCGGAAAAAGTATCGTTCAGGAACCGGTATTGAAGTTGAGGTATCGATATCAAAAATCTTTGAACAATACCCAGCCCTAACCGCTGATATTTAGGCTACTCTTGTCCGGTCGCTTCTCCAAGCTAAATTTTCCACTCTACCAGCGCACTGCTGACGCATCTGTAGTATGAGCACAATTGAAGTAAAAAGATTGGCACACAGATAGTCCCATTGTCACCGATACCCAAGCCTGTTTTCTTGGGTCAGAATTGGACCAATGTCCGATATTATTATCATATAGGTGCATCCCTACTTTCAGGTAATGGCCAGTTCACTCTGGAGTCTGATATGGGCTACAATTAAAAAGTAATGTAACAGTCAATAAAAACAAAAAATCTGACCTGAGCAGTAAATTGGAATAGATGTTTTTCCTGCTTGTGTGCAACCACACGTGAGCACCATACATATAACACACTTCATTTGAGTTTATGGAGTTGGTCTAGGGTGATCCACACTATTTATTTTTTTATTCTCTTGCACGGGGCATGCCATTTTTGAAACAACACGTCCCTTTGAAAACTAGCGCACCTGTAAAGAACTTTGAGGCCACTGCTAGTAAACACTGAAGTCTATACGTGAATGACAGGGAAATCTCCCCAGCAACACAAGACAGACTCCATGCCTCTCATCAACACAAGAGGGCTATGAACTCTGTGTTCTTTGAGACTGTAGCTGGATCACAAGTCATTAACTCACTTACTCACTACTTGATTAATACTAGGTAGTTTGCTATATAGCCAGCATTAAATTAAGATACTAAACACTTGTGAATCATCATCATCACCATATTGTGCCAGAGCTGACAGATGTGGTGAGACATGTCATCTCAGGGGCAGAGGCGAAACGTTGCATTGTGGGATTATTGGCAGAAAGCAGCGTGCAAAATATGGACACTACATTTTTTGTTTCATCGTGGTATTATTTGAGGGCAAAGACAGACAACAAAATTATATTTCTTGAGCTTAAACAATTAGTGAATGAATCCATTAGTCTATATAGGCAACAGTTTTAACAATCAGTTAATTGCTCAAGTACTTTATCAAGCAAAAATGCCAAACATGTTCTGGTTGCAGCTCCTCAAGCATGACTTTTAGCTGAAGCTACTTGTCTTTGTTTGACCGTTATCTGAATAGTTTGGGGTTTTGGACTGTTGTTCAGACAACACAAAAAAATATGCATTTGTCTACTCAGGCTCTGGAAAACTGTAATGGGCCAAGACCAAATGATTAATCGCTCATGAAAATAATCATTAGTAGCAGACCTAAAATCTCCCAAAGTACAAGTGATAAATTTGGTGGCACAAAGGGAGTGATTTTTGACAAGCCATGGATTTAATTTCCTTCAAGGGACAATGGAGAATGTAAAGGGACATTTTCTGTCAGATAAGGAGAGCTCACACTTGAATATGCAAAAGAAAATCACACCCGCTCACATCTGACATTCTGACCAGACGAGACTTAGTCCCAAGGGGACAAGCCACACAGACATGAGGGAATTCACCATGTCAGATGCAGTAAGAGACCCATCGTACGGCCAGAAGCAAACTAACTACAGTGATGTTGCTCTGACATTCAAACTCAGTGATTCATTTGCACTGTAGCATGAAAACCGTGTAACTATTAATCACTAGAAGGGCTTTATTGGGATATAAAATACATGCACGACTGTCAAACATGTGCTGTCAGTGGAACACAGAAGAATTGTCTGTCAAGAAAAAATGACTGGAGGTTGAGTGGGAGTGCAGAAGAAATTCTACGCAGTCATGGTGAAGGCAGGAGAAAGAGGCAGATAGTGGTGTGAGAGAGGGAATCACTAGTGGTTCTTAAAATGTTCATCCTCCTTCCCTCACTCCTACTCCACATTCACTGGTCTACAGTGTGGACGGACGGACACTTGCGGTTTGTGTAGGAAAGTTTTACACTACCTGAATGCAGGCAAGCATATAAAGTACATCAGTATCAGTTGGACTCAAATCAGCCAGGTCCAGATGATGTAGACCTATGTAAACTGTATTGCAACTAATGACTCTGCAGGTGGTAAAACTATATTAATCATTCACACAAAATTCTGAGAAATCCTACTTCAGTCACCCATTTCTCTGTTCGCCTGCCTTATATCATTTGGTTGACTCATTGCCCACCTTGTGACATAACAAAACACAAGGAGAACAAGTGGAATACTTCAATAAAAGCATATATGCTTAAAACTCACCAACACAGGCATTGAGGAACAGCCAATCAGTCCTTCTCATCCGGTTCTTAATCTGCTTCAGTTTTTTGAAATCCACCTCCAGCTCCTCTTTGCTCCCAATCCCAGCCCCTGACGCCAGTTCAATCCTCTGAAAGTCCATGTTGACCTCTGACGCCCGTTTCGAGGTAGGGGGCGACCTCCTTTGGCTACTGCTACAACCCCCCATCCCACCTACTATGCTCCCTACTCCTTGCCCAACAACACCCCTCCTGTTGTCCCTTTCCTGTTCATTCAGTTTTGAGGAAGGCTGTTGGCTCTCAGGCTCTGATGCCAGTTCGATGGATTCAGCTAGCAGACTATTCGGCCTGGGGTGGTCACAAACCACACACTTGAGTGCCTTGACCCAGTTCTCGTAAGTGCAGGCAGTGCAGGTCCAGTGCTGTGCATGGGTGTTGAGCCTGTTACGATCATTATATTCCTCACAGGGGTCTGTAGTGGTGGCCAGGGGAGCAGGGCGGCATCCAGAGCCTGAGGTCTGGGGTGATTCTGTGGGGCTGCGTGGATGCTGGGTATGATGTCCTTGATGTGTTGCATGTTTTCCATGCTGTTGTTGTTGAGCCTGTTGCCTCTGGCACAGACACTGAGTGCAACGGATGGCCCGAGGCCAGTTCAGGTAGGTGCACATGTGACACGACCACTTGCTACTAGTCTCAGGTACATCAGCTATGCGGACACGTGGTCGGGCACTGGAGTCCGGACAAATAAGTAAGCTGGAGCCGCCCTGAGTTGGGCTGTTGCTGAGGCCTGCAGGGTCCCACTGGTGTAGACTGGCATCCAGAGCAGGGCTGCTCTTGAAGGGCTCCTCAGTAATGATGGCACCCCTGCTGGGCCTCTGAGCGCGGCACATGGTGCACTTGATGGCTGACGGCCAGTTCTCGTATGTGCAGTATTCACAGGCCCACTTGGCAACCAGCTCGGTCATCGTCGCACCGCCGCTGAGGGAGGCTTCCTGCCGTTCAGAGGGGTTCTCAGCTCGGCAGATCCACTCTTAAGGAGATCACACAGCAAGCAGTACACTAGGGTACAAAGGGGAAAAAAGGCGTTGATGTTATGGTAAATAGATATAATGAACTTGACTACACTACACAAAAGGAAGAAGACAAAGCAATAGCAATAGCTTATAACTCAAAGGAAACCACCTTTGAAAGTAGGGCTGGACAATTTGGCCAAAAATGTTATCACATTGATCACATCACATCATTTCTGCTCCTGAGTGAAAGTTGAAGAAACCTGATGGTTAATTGTGGTTTTAACTTTTCTTAATGGTTAACACTTTATGTCAAACAATGGATCACTTCACAAATCTGAGGTAGAACATTCAAAACTATGACAATAAGATCTTTGTCAACAAATACACACAAGTAAAATCAAAAGCTTTTTTTGGTAATTTTTCCTCTACAAAATAAAAAAAAGTCCCAATTTGATTTTATTCACTTGAATCATACACAAACATTTATTGAACATTTGTTATATTGTTATTGTTATTGTTTTATTGTCCAGCCCTATTTGAAAGGTAAAAGGAGTGGTAAATCTCTCCAATAATGCATCAGTACACAAAACCTAGACAGAGCACCTTTATTATACAGCCACCTGTGCCACTCACACAGTGCTGTCTGCTCTTGATTTGGCACTAAATTTGGAGCAAGGGAGAAATGTTAAGAGACCCACTAAGCGAAGCCAGGTCCAAGGTGCAGCCTGGAGTGCTGCGTTGATCCTCCGTGCTTCTATAAAAACCTGACACTGGTTTTTAACACATACAGTAAGTTACATACACCAGACAAATGTGCCCTACAACTGAGCTTGGTAACAAGAGACAAGGACATATGAAACCAGACACCCAGCAAGGAGGCGCGTGACTTGTTAAGACACTTACTGATACACTGAAATTGAATGTGCCCCAAAGCCTTTTACCTGCGTATGAAAGTTGATGATCCAAAGCACATGTGCCCGCGATACATTCTTAACCTGATTTACGTAACGTTAGCTAATAAGATAAAGTTAACGTTACCTCGCTGGGGCAGCTCAGGCAGAAGAGTTTGGCTGCACTGTGTTCACACCACGCCTCTAAGTTTACCAACACACCGTGAGATATTCAACACATCTTCGAGACACGATTCCTAATGGCTGCGTGTTTTGTAGGCAAAGCTATCAAACACTGAAATTAACGCGTTTACTAGTATTTCATGCATCCAAGTAATAAATTCGGCTGATATAACCAACAAGTTTAGAGTTTAATTCAAATAAGCAGCCGAGTAGCGTCGTGTGCATTTACAGTTTAACATTACTTAACTAGCAAACTAACGCTGTATCGTTTGTTAACAGACGGAGCGAGCTAGCTGGGGGTTATCTTACATGACAACTAGGCTACGTTTGTTTGGTTGTCAGCCAGGAATTAACGTTAGCTAGCTGGCTGGTCGCTTACACATTACGGGATTATGTTTTGCCCCCTCTCTGCCTGAAACCGTTGGAGAGGCCCGTATTAACTCAACAAGAAGGTTGGCTAACGTTAAAACCCTTAACTTACCTTTGCTGTGTTTACACTCCTCAGTTTCCCACTGCGGCCAAAACAAATGGTGCACCCCCCACCCACCCCCCACGACCAGAGAAACCCACTCCAATCCGAACTCCGCTTCTCTCACTTCACCGACACTAACCGCATATTTACTTCTTTGGGGTGCCGTTTAGTTGGCAGTTCAAGGTCCATACATACCGCGGAGCGAGAGCCCACCCCCCCGTCCCGTACCTCGGCCGTCTGCTTTGATGCTTTAAATCATTTTGGTCCCTTTCCCAAACACCAAAGCTTGCGGGCTTTAATGGCGGCACAGGGGAAGGGAAGCAACCAGGGCTACGAAAAATACACTACGAGGGAGAGCAGAGAGCTCTGGGCCGTGTTACAGTCGGAGGCAGGATCAGGATTTACCACCTGAATCTGCCGACAAAGCTGATTGGTTGATTTTTTTGTATCCCCTGACCATAACCAATCAGATTCTACGTCTCTCATTCCAACTGTTAAAAGGCTCCGTGGAAGCAAATCGGGCTCTAATGTCACAGTAAATAATCGCGATTTCGTTTACAGATCATTTTCTTTTAGTCGATGGGTCCCGCAATTTACAGTAACAACATGTTTGTTTTTAATCCGTGCAGCGTGATTTGTTGCATCCCTGGCAGGCAACCACGTGGTATTCCCTCAAAAAGGAATAAGGGGATGATGTCATCGTAAAAATACTGCAGCAAGCAGTCTGCAGTAATGCATGACAGCTTGATGAAGTTCTCAGCGCTGACTTGTTATTGTTGACGGGCATCTACGCACTCCGAAGTCGAAGTTTAATTTGCACCATAATTAATACTCTGCAAAGTCATTTGTTCACCAGAGGAAAATGTATGCATGGATGCAAGTCTTGTTTACAGGAAAGCCCGGCCCACTCCAATGTGATGTCATTGAAACACGCACCAGTAGGTTTGGCGCATAAAAATACACATCCAAAATAAATGAGTTATAGTTTTGCAGGAGTCTTTGAAAAAAAACTTAACATTTGTAGTAATTGTACAATCATTTGTAAAGGTTTTATGCTCCCTAATTAATCTGTAAATTACATTTTAAGGCATGCAAAAAAATCACTTGCACATTTAAAGTGACACTGCATTTACCGCAAAAAGAAAACAAAGGCACATCATGATCACATATTATGCATGTCTCATTTATTATCCCCCAGTTTAGGAACCATAGTCTGTGCTAGTCCAAGCAAGTCCTTGGTCTACTTTCGTCAAGTACACGTAATCCAGATAAAAGCAGAGAAGATCTAAGCTGTGTACTGGACTTTGTGCTTTCAGGGAGGTGTTGATGTTGCAATGGCCCGCTTGGGGGAAGGAAGGGAAGGGAAGGGTCACCCCATACAGTAAGAGTACATGAGTGTACAGTATATTTGTATTATGTTGAAACTTGAAAAGGTATAGGATCCTACAATGTTAGTCCTCTTGACACTTTATGCCAGCGGTCCTCAACACCAGAGCCCTGCTGGTTTTCATTCTGGTCATCAAGTCAGCATTTCACCTGGGGGTGCTAAGAAGATAGATTTAAAAAGCAATCATCTAGTCACTGAGGACCAACATTGAGATCTGCTGCTCTATACCACCACAACACTCAACTGAGACAAGCTTATACAGTAAGTGCTGTTTAAATGCTACCCCCCCCCCCCTTGTCTACTATACATTCATTATATATTTCCTTATTATATTCCAGTACTCAAAGGAAACCATATTCCTAACAAATTGATTTTGTCATTTCTTTTGTGATTGTGTTACTCTGGGTGATTATTAAGTAACATTTTGAGTGCCAGTTCCCGATAAGTGACGCATTGGCATTACACATCAGGGCAAATTTAATGACCCTAAGGCAAAAAACATGACATACAAGCAGGCTGTGTAAATAAAGCAGAGCTTCTTCACAAGGCAAAGCTTCTCCCACCACAAAGCGTCTTCATTTACAAACTGAGTGCAACCTGCTGATCACCATGTTAGACGTCCTCCATGTGAAGTTCAAATGTCTGTCCATGCTGAATATAACAGGGTCTAGAATTGAAGGGTTCGTGCAAGGAGGGTGTCCTACATCCAGCACCCAATCAATCCTCACCTTCTTGCTCACGTCTTTAAATGGGCCAGATGTTTAAAAAAAAAAAAAAAAAGTAATCTCCATACCAACTCTGCTTTGCAGGAAGTATGAGTTACTAAGCAGATTCCATCTGACTTTACAGTTAACAATTCCAGTTTCAAATAATAAAGCAAGCAAAGTCACAGCTGCAACCATGACATGCAGGTCCATTTAGAAGTCATCAGTTAAACTATAAAGGGAAAACAGCGAAGATTCAGGCAGACAAAACACCACATCATGGAAAGGAAGGCATATAAATGTGGGACTAATTTAAAAAATAAAAAGTTGATTATTGCAAACAACACAATTTGTTTTCATTTTACTCCTCAAAAGAAATCTGTGAATGTGTTCTGTGTGTGTGTGTATATATATATATATATATATATATATATATATATATACATATACATATATATATATATATATATACATATACACACACACACACACACACACACCACACACACACCCACACACACCCACATACTCACACACCCACACACCCACCCCCAGAAACTGCCCTGAGTGGAAGGCACTGTATACTGAAGCAAGGTCATGATGTTTTCATCACATCATCCAGGTCCATACACGTAACACTGACCCAACCAGGTCACAGTACATGAGGTCTGCTGTCAACTATGCCAAGGTTACAATTCACACACTACAGGGGGGTATCAGCCTTCCAGTATGACTTTAATAGAAAATAAGTTAGTGAGAAGTGAGCTTGAAGTGGTTATATGATCACGGTCAGTAGTATTGGAGACAACCAGCACTGTGAAGCGGAAGTAGCAGCCAGGCTTTTATGTGGTGGAGAAGAACAGACAGATGCAGTTTTTTTTAGTGGTAGCTCTCTGAGTTGCAGCAGCAGAAAGGGAACCTTAAGCATCTGGTTAGTAAAGCTACAGTACATTGTGTTTGCCCTGTGAACCCCATATAACACAAAAGTTGAACTGAGTTTAGCTCAGGTGATCAATGAGGACTACTCAAGTGGCACAACATGACAGCATTGGTATAGCACAACAATAAAGAAAACTTTTGTTAAGTGCAGCAAAGCGCATACAATTTCAGTGTTATCCAAGAGGAACGTGACATTGACATTCTTGTCAATCAATTAGATTAACTGTTAATCTGAATGAATATATATCACCCATTAGAGAAGTAGCAGATAAAATTTAGTTTGAAATCTATGCTTTATAATTTAAATAGGCAACTGCATGATTAATTAAAGACTGTGGAGCATGGAAAAGAAAATGTAACCAAGACCAAAATCAAATGTGCATTTTAAAGAAATTCTAGTTACATTATATATCTCTTTCTTCAAATAAAAAATAAAAAGTTAAACATTTGCCTACTTCTTTGTAAAAACTGTTTTAAGGCAGCAGAATATTTTCCTATTACTTTTCTCAAGATGGTTTGTTTTGTTTTTTTAAAAAGGCAAAAAAAAAAAAACACAAGGGGCTCAGAGTTGGTGATGCAAACATGAAACAAACAAACAAACAAATACAGAAAGCATGGAGTAGGGCCTGCCTTTTAGGGAGCCGGCTTGCCAACCAGTTGGCATAAATTGTGATATCCACTTATGACACTGAATCCAGACACATCCACACTTAAGTACCCAGACTGACCCCATTCCAAAAAAAAAAAAAAAATCAAAAATCTTTTCCCCCAGTGAGACACACCTGTTAAGTCTGCAAAGCCTAGCAAAGTTTCCCCTTACAATGGAGATCAGACTAAGACAAGAAGAAATACTCACAGCGGGACCCCGCCTGCACATGCCTTTCACTTTCAGGACTGGCACTTCATTTGTCTATACTTATCTATCTTTGATTGCTTGAGATGCCCCCCTCTCAAGGTGTGTCATTTATTAGTGTCCCATACACACCCTGTGGCATGTTTCTATGTGGTCTGAGAGCCACGAGCGTCCCCATCAGGACTAAGGGCAGCTGGTCGGCCTTGTGCTAAAATGCTGGCAGAGACCATTGCCGGATGAGCCGCTTCACTCACTAAGTTCTCATATTCACTACTGTCCTCATCTTCATCGTCATCATCTTCATCATCCTCCTGCCCTGCGGCTTGTCTGTCTAACGAGTCAGAGCTTGATCCGTCACCATTGCCAAGGTACGGGGTGCTGGGAGTGGTAACAGGATTAGCGTTGGCGCTGAGGCCCAGTCCCAGTCCCAGCCCAAGGCCCATCCCCAGTGGGCCAGGGGTAGGGTGTCCTGGAGAGCCAACGGCTTGGGGCCGGGGAAGTAGAGCAGCACTGGTAGGTGGGGAAGAAGAGGAGAGCAGAGAATCGTCCTGGGACATGAGGTCAGCATAGGACGGTGGGTTAGGTGAGGTACTGGGCCGCTCCGGGGCAGAGGGTGTGGGGAAAGTTATCCTGGACAGAGAGGAAGCCTCAGAACATTCTGTGTTCTCCTCTGGAGTGGAATGGGAGTCTGCATTTTGGGCATCACGGAGCCCTGTGGGACAGAGACAGATGTTACTGGTAAAAAGGGTAAAGAGAACGTGAAAATATTAGCACATAAAATTAGAGGAAGTCATGTTTACCAGTTGACCGATCAAATATTTTAAAAAGGATGAACTCAGAAGAATTTAAATGCTATGCAACCATAGCTTGATACCTGCTAGAACTAGAAATATACCCCGTTGTATGTATTTGATGTCTAAGGGGCCTTGTGTTTGAAATGTCACTGGCTTAATAAATCTTTTCTACAGGGGGCTATTTTGGGGTGCTGATTTATCTCAAAATGTTAAACCAGCACACATTTGAAACTGAAAGACATAATTCCAGTTTATATCATCAAAAAGAGGTACAACATACTTTTCTCCTCTTCTGCTGTCTTGCGTTTCCTGAGAGCAATTTGTTGTTTGAGTTTGTTCACATCCTCTTGAATTTTCTCCTTCACACGTTCACTTTGTTCTACCTCCGCACACACAGCCTGAAAACAAGAAAACAGGTGTAAAACTCACACACACACACACGTTGAAAATTTTCTTTCAGTCATCCAGTGTGCAAAAACCAATGTCAAAATCCAACTCACCTGCACTTTATCTTGTAGTGCACTGTAGACTTGGAATATTGTTCGGATATCTTTCATCACACCATCTTTGTCAAAGAATTCAGCCCTGGAAAGATATTAACCATTAGATCATGTCATTCAAAACATTCCAGATCACACAGATCTAACAATACAAAAGGCATTAAAGCAGTAAAGGTGTGTAGTGGATGTCTTCTATATCAAAACTAAATCAAGCATATTCCACTGGCTGTCACTCAAAAATATCAGGTGCATGAGTATGAACTGAACAGAGTGGTCTGATCAGAAGCTGGACAGACAGGCCTGGCTAAACCCACTGCAGGCTGAATGACACTGACAGTATTCATCCCGTCTAGGACAGAAACACTGGGTCTAACTTTAGACACAAAGACACATACAAGCTGAAGCATGTGCAGCTTGTCACATACCAGCTTTCCATTACAGTCAGTCACACGCAAATGTATGCAGACAGCGCTTACACAGTCTTAAGTATAAACTAGCACATAGGCGCGCACACACACAAACAAATGTGTGGACATCCTGGGTGCTGGGGTCACACAACACCAAGGAGCCTCAGGTGAAATCTCTGCCAGCAGTGAATTCCATCAAACAGAAAAGTGTTTGTGGAAGGGAAGCAACCCCAACTGATTGGTTGAGGCACCACCATGAGGGAGAGAGGGGGTCGTTGTGTTATATGTTATGCCCTCAAGATGAAGCTGTAGCATGCTGCCAGGTGAAAACAGGTGGCTGCTGCAACTCTACGCATATCAGAGGACACCCGTGACTGTCTAAACCCTCCCTGACCCAAAGGAAGTTAGGAGTCAAAACCTTACCCGTGCTCTTTGATGACCTGGGTGTAGCTGAGTGAGGTGTTGGGCACTGAGGAGACTTTGTATTCCTGCTGGCTTGTGTTGCCGAGGTTTGGGATTGTGAGGGTGATCCTCTGGTTGTACCTACTGAATGGAGATTACCAGTTAGCAATGTTAAAACATGGCAAACTTGCATGAAGTTCCAGACTTTGGAAAGTGTTGATAATGTATAATTTATAAAAAAAAAATTTAAATCCAGTAGCATGTATATTGCACTAATTTTGTCGTGTTTAACTTTCTAAACATCATTTCACACACGTTTAAAATGGAACAATATGCCAAAGTAGGGATGCACAAATCTGACCTTCTCTCTCCCGATATCTCAACTCAGGTTATCTTCCGATACAAACACCCAATCCGGCACCAGTGCTCTCTAATCTCCAATTTTTAAATCTGTATACCTCTCTGCAATACACTCATTGGGATGATTTTCATTTAAGGCAACATTAGCCCAGGGACTGAATTAATGTAACTGATGGTAGAACACACAATGACACTGACAAAGAAGTTTTTAAATTGTAGAATGGTCACATCATGACTTTCACCCAATATTATTTACTGGCTCAGATACCGATCAAATCCCTGTGCAAAAGGAACTTAGAGAAAAAAAATAGACCAGGATGGAACCTCTATGTAAATCATAGTAATCACATAATCAATTCTGGACAAAGGTAAATATTTACTGATCGGTAGTTTGACACAGTGAGTGTATAATGAGTGTAGTTATTACCTGCGGTTAGGTCTGAAGAGCACATACTCCAGTGCGTGCGTGGAGCTGTTTGCGGTGGAGATGAAGCTGAAAAGAAGGAAGACGAGGTCGGGCACACCAAGCAGCTGAGTGAGCTGTTTGTGAATGATCTGTTCCCTGAACGACATCTGCTGCTGCGTGTTCCTTCGGAACCGGTACCACCCAATGACGTTCTACATGACAGAAGAAACAAATCATTTAAAATAGATCTGACCCAATAAAGTCTCGCTAACCGAACCCCATTTAGGACGACGAAACAACAAGTGACCAAAACACACTATACGGTGAACTGTCCAAATCATTATGTAACCTGTAGATACACATGTCAACTGTAACTTTTAGTTTACAATCACTCTACAATAACACTTAAATAAAAATATAAAGTAGTATTCATTTTAGTGTAGTCTTGGTTTAAAGGTAAAAAGAGGACATCACTAACATCAGCTATAGTGTATGCTTACATGACAAAAAAAACCCAAAAATTTCACTCACTTTCCGCCTATCTTTAAGAATGCTGTTGAGATTTTCTTCGTTGATTTTTCCTGCGTAGTCATAAAAGCTGAGGAGAGGGAGGGGGGGAAAAAAACAAGTAATTTCAACCTGATACATCATGTTCCTACTCTTCCCCTGTCATGGCCTACTTCTATTATCCAATCTTGTGGGGCCATCTACTGTCAATGTCATATTAATTCAGCTTGTGCTAAAATGGATGTAAGGCAACTGATTTACCCATTAAAATTTTTAGTATAGTTTTACAAAGACCTAAAAGTAACACACCACACCACACACTCCACTTTTTGTGGAGGGAAAAAAACCCAACAGTAATAAATACTCAGAGCTCCCTACATGAATTATGCAACAAAAGCTCTCTAAAATGACACTTCAATCTACTTTACTTCAGATTTTCCTAAATTAAATGATCATGGCCAAAATTGCTGGCTGGCTGTTTTTGTATCCCTAAAACAGTGTCAGTTGTGCATATGGTGAAATTTAATGGAGTAAATTACAAAGATTATATCTTACCTAAACAACTGTGCACAAGGATCATGGTTATGGATTTCTGTTGGGAACAAATAGTGCCAGATGTTTAGTTTTATACTATTATATATGCAAATATTTAAAAGGCAAATTCAAATCTTTATTATATCCATGAAGGTACCTGTTATTCATATGCCCATAAAGTTACCATTCTGGCCCCTAAGGCCATACAAACAGTAAACCTGAACTTGCAAAGCATTAATGCTTCTGTTACTAATAGAGTTACATTGACTTTCAGCCGTCTCAGTTTACAATACAAAATCACGTACCAAGAATCTTATCCAAACCACAAAACCACCAAAGAAAAGGACATTAGCATAAATCTGCACACTTCTGTGAGAGCGTTAACTGAAGCTGAGGGATACATGCACAGCTAAAAGCTTCTTATCATCATGTTTTCTTTCACATTCAGATACATCAAAGCACACCTCTCCAAATACGACTGAAGGGGCAGAGGAGAAATTCAGTAAGCAGTAAAACCAAGTTATCCACACAACTGAAAAAAAACATATTATTCATTGTTAATAGTTGATAAGATTAAAGTTCAATACAGATTCCTGTGGCTCTCCTGTAGTTATACCGACTGATGATCACCTGTTATTAATAGAAATTTCAAATTGAGTAATTGTCCCGTTTTGTCTGAGGTGTGCTTTGTAGTATCCATATCTAGTATATTATGCTGTTTATTTAACAAGAAAAGTTAATCTATTCAACATGAATAGTCGGTTTACGGCCTATAAAACAGATATTAAAGGCCCTGCACACCTACACAGGTGTAAATTATGGCTGATTAAACTCCTCCTCGGGTTAAGGTTGGGCAATGCTATACAGGGAACTGCGTGATGTCATCAAATTGTATGTGCTTAATTTTGTTGCATCTATTAGGGACAACTTTTATTATTCTTTAATAGAGGAGTGAGGGAGCTCAGCAGTCAACAAACTCAGTTTGTACACGCCTAATGTTTTGGGAAGAGCACTTAACAAGCAAAACAAGTCAAAACACCTGTGTGGGCGGATAATGGGTGTACAGGGACTTTGACAGAACTTGTGTAACATGTTGTTCTAAAAAGCAGGGCATTTCTGAAAATGGTGCAAAAAGATTTTTCACAGCAGACATTTTGACCCGTCATGGTAGGAAAAGCACAGGTGTTACTAATAAACAGTAAGCCACAACAGTGTGACAGACCCAGCATGCGCAATACCCACAGGACCCTCACAGGCAGCTAAATGCAATTCAGCCATCAGGGATTTTACACCTGGGCTTTTCCTACTGTGATGTCAAAATGTCTTCTGTGAAAAGTGCCTATGAAATTGTGTTCCAGTGACTTTCTTAAAAGTCTCTTAAGACTTCTGTCACGGACTGGCAGTCATCAATGTATTAATCAGGTTGCTACATATTGCTTAAAATACCCCATATGTTTTAGTTGGTTCTGTTTCATGGCTTACCTAATACCTGGAGCAATTCTGCACTGCTGATCTGTGTGTCACTGATGCTGACAGTCTCTTCTTGCCTTACTTCTCCTAGTAGGAAGCCCTCCTGTGCAAATGCATGTTCACAAAACTGTGGTTAGGGCAGTAATGTAGACCTGGAACCACAAATTAATGAACAACTATTTTTATAATTAAATAGTGTTAAGATATTTATCCGACAAAACTGCCAAACATTCTGGTTACAACTTCTCAAATATGAAGATCTGCTTTCCTGTTTTATATTGATATATGTTGAAAATCTTTGGGCTGATAGGTCAAACAATAGGTATTTTCAAGAAGTAGTTTCACTATTTTTGGATTTTGCAGACAATTTATTAATTAAAGAGTGGTTAACTAATGTAAAAAAAACCAATGTACTGCTGCCCTACGGATGGGTACTCTTTAGATGTTTTGAACATATAGAACAATTTACTTTTCAGAATCACTGAATCATAAATCAAGACATTCCTTGATGTCAGGTAAAATAACAAATCAACTTTTAAGAGTAAGTTAATTTACTTAATTCAACTAACATCACTGAGAAGTGACAGTAGCTGGTAAACAATAGCGCTGCTTTAATCTTTCTTTTTATGTCAAGAATGTAGGCAAACTTGTAATCAGCAGCTCTCCACCTGCCCAGGGCCGACTTTAAAGTCAAGAGGAAAAGGCATGTAAACAGCGCTGACGTTAGCAAAGTTTGCCCTAACGCTTGTGTGATATCTGTCGCAGATCACAACGCGTCCCCCCACGACTGTGTTTCTACAACGCCCAAGCCAAAAAAAAACCCAAAATATAAATACCTTTACGCATCTCAGTCACTTTGTCAGACGGTATTGACTTAAATACAACCAGCAATAGCTAGGTGGCTAACAAGCTAATATAGCAATGCGGATACGAGAAAAACAAAGAGGGTTAATGCTACCTAGTTAAGAAATGTAACATTACGGTGTTGTCATCCTATTTTTTATGACACACTAAACTGTTATCAGATAACAAGTCAAAGTGATTGTAGGTATTAGGAGGACCGACACACGGAAGTCACTTGACTTGGTAGCTTAGCTAACATGCTAAGTAGCTATCTACTGAGTAATTCCTGGAACTCAAACTTTCTTAACAGCATGTCCCGTAACGATATTGCAGGTATTCGTGTGAAGAGCTCTTTGTAGCTACTGTCGTAGCTATTTATCTAACACATGTGGAGCTGTAACACATAAGGTCGTCTTAAAATTACTCATGTCTTCATGATTGTGTAACTACACAGTCTGATTTAACCATACCTGCCGGTAAATAGACGGAACCAACACACGCTAGCCAGCAACAGGATGATGACACTGGGAAAAACACAAACTAATGGCGCTGATGAACGGTCATACGCATCGCCGAGCTACGCACACTTTAGCACTCATCGCACAATATAATAGTGTGTCAACATAATTTTGAATACTTACATGATCTGAGTTGCTGTTGGAGCTGTGATAACACACAGAACTAAAAGTGTAACCTGAAATGGATGCCGCCATGATGGAAACATCCCTATCAATCCCGATGCCCCCTGCGGTTGCAACAAGCACGCTCCTCAAACGCGACGTCTTGTGGGAACTGTAGGCGACAACTTGACAGTCTCTTTTCCAGCATGGACGTCGCCACTGAAAGCCCACATGGCTGTAGAAACACGTCGGAACCAGAGGAAGACAGAGGCTCGGATACCGATTTTAAACCTTCAAAACTCGGAACGAAAGCATAGTAAGTCGTGCGCTACGTTAGCTCTGTTAGCTCCGTCAGGCTCCACAGCTAACTTACAACAGACAACAACACAGCTAACTGACTTTACGGAAAGCCTTTCTAAATATGTCGTAAAATGTCTTTCTATATTGCTAGGAGCTACTACTTCTTTAGACATTTTATTTACCATGCCGTAACGTTGCCACAACAAGTGCTATACTTAAATTGCCCGTGTTTTTGCCGTCGTCCTGGATAAGAGAGAGCAAAAGACAATTTATTAGAAATTCGATATATAAACTTAAAGTCAGGCTGCTTATTCATTTTTATTTGAAGTTTTTGCACTATATTGTATCACGTTTATAATAACGTAAAGCAATATGTCGTCTGTGCTTAGTGGTGTTTATATAACTAATTATGAGTAACTGTGCTTTTCTGCAGTTGGGAAGATGCATACAAAAAAGAGCTTGAGACATTCAAAGACATTGGGGACGTTGGTGAGATATGGTAATCATATTGAGTATTGACATGCTGCTTGTATTGTCATTACTAGAACTAATCCAACAGTTCCACTGGTCCTCTGGATTCCTAACAAGAGATTTGTTTAATGCAGTATATTTGGTTTCTGGTAATCTCATTGCTAAAGTCTTTGTGTTTCGGCGTCTTCTTTCAAGGTTTGGTGAGGAGAGTATGAGCCGTGTGCTGCGATGGATGGCCAAAGCTAAGATCCCAGAAAATGCTGCCATTCTTGACATTGGGACTGGAAATGGAGCCTTTTTAGTTGAACTGGTGTGAATACAGTAAAACTAAATTTTGACACTGTAATGATTTTTTTAAATAAAATATAGAAACATCTCTACATTATCCAGGTTAACAGGGATATTATAAACACTCACTGTTCGGTATTTCAAACCACAATCCAAGTGCCTTTCACCTCCAATTTATTGGGATGATGGCAGACGTTTTAGCAATCTCAAAACCACGGCAAACACTATCTGCATGACTAAACACCACTAGGGGTTAAGTGGAAAACATTTAGGTGATCTGAGCCTTTTAATGTATAATTTGTGAATGACAGCTAGGTCTAAGACCTTGTTAACAAAGTACTTTTCTATGACAACTGATAAGCTTTGTTCTTCATTTGCTGTTTGAAGGCAAAACACAGATACAGGAATCTGACTGGAATAGATTATTCTCCAGCATCTGTAGACTTGGCCAGAAATGTTCTGCAGGCAGAGGGCTTGACAGATGTCATTGTGAAGGTGGGTTCAGTTTTGTTTGTCATTTAAACTTTAGTGTTACTGTACTGTTAATGTGCACTAGTATCACAACACATTTTGACACATTTAGATGCTGTAGGGTGCTACATTGTGTTCAAGTTTACTGTGATAAGAAGTGACCAACAGTTGAAAAATGGAAATTGGTACCAGAGATACTTTCTAATAGGGATATGAACACATTATGGGTTTTGCAGAAAATTAGGCTGTGGTACCAACTGGAGCATTCACATTATGGCAGACTGAAATGTATATTGCTGCACTTAATGTACACATGTGTTAGAGTACCTGACAGCGCACGGATGGTGATGACATTTACACTTTTAATTGATCATTGGTATACTATATGAATATTTGTATGGCTAGGTGAACAGCGGGAATCAACATTTTATTTAACAATTTAATTCTCTCCATTTAAGCGCTGCAACAAAAATATTTTACTGTATCTTGTGTATCTTAGGTCATGCACAAATAAGCACAGATTGATTAAATAAATCCCATTTAGCCCCCTAAATGCCAATGGTAAAATATAGCTTTCAGCATACTATGAGCCCACCTGGGAAGGTTAGAGGAAAGTCTCCTGTGTTTACCATGTGGGAGAGTTGGATAGGAAGAAGGCTCTGAAAGTATTGGAAATCTGCCGACCATTCAGATAAAAAAACCTCAAACTCCAATGAATTGGCAAGATTTAACACATCTGCTAACATTAAATATTCAAGAAAAATAAGTTGGAAATGTTGGCTGCTCTGTAAGGGATGTGATGAGTGACTTTTCTTGTGTGCATTATAGAGCTGCATATATATTATATGCATCACACACGTATGACGGTGTGTGCTTTGCTTGGGCAGAAAGCCTTCCACTGAAGTCAATATTGACCTTAGCAGGACAGAAGGAGCACAGAGTGTGTGTGAGTGAGAGAGAGAGAGAGTATGAGAAATGGTATGTTGGCATCTGGTTCATTTCTTCAGTACTGCTGAATGCCAAAATTATTGTGTGAATGTGCTTGTGGTGTATGCATTTGTAGCTTTCAATGGAGTCTGAGGGGAGTATGAGGAGTTTCAGCCACATGATTAAAAAAGCTCCTTCCAAAGGTCGTTCTTGGGCTCAAATGTATGTCAAGCCCCGTCTCTTTTTAAGTTAGTCACCAACTACTGCTGCTTTGACACGTCACCTTCACGCATTCCTTCAACATCTTCCCAGTTTTTCCTTTTACAGGCTCACACTCAAATTTAACTCCGGTCAGTTGCAACAATAGACAGATATTTCCGTCACCAGTGAATTACTGTTGATCCTCCTTCATAAATCACACATTTTGCGACCCGTGCTTTGTGAGTATGTAGCTCTTGAGCTCTGCCCAGAGATCTGGTGTTCTGCCCTGTGTCCAGATAAAGGGCTCTTTTCACTAGTGGTGTGGTAGGTCAGAATTAACTGCTGTCATATTGGAATTTAGTTTTTAAAGTTAACTAATAAGATATAACACATTTCATCTTGGTTGATGTGGAAATATTTCTCCTGCAGGGAACTATATAGTTTACCCCACATCTAAAGAGTCAGACTAAACATTAGGCACCGTATATTATGTATATATAATTGTATATTTGCTGCTCTTTATTTTAGGAGATGGATTTCTTAAACTGTCAAGGGCAGCTAAATGGTTTTGATGTATGCATCGACAAAGGAACATTCGATGCAATAAGCTTAAACCCAGACGACACCAAGGATGGCAAAAAACTATACGTCCAAACTCTTAAAGATGCTCTCAAGGACAAAGGATTATTCGTTGTCACTTCCTGTAACTGGACCAAAGAGCAGCTGCTAAACCGATTCAGTGAAGGTGAGGAGCAAGACTGAATTAAATTTGATGTCTGATCATTTATTTTGATATGTTCTCTCAGCTTGAGCTCTCCAACAGTCATACAAGACAGACTGTGTTATTCCTAATGCTGTTTTAATTCTACCGTGCAGTTCGTCAAGCAGGTCTTAGTTTATTGTTTTCTTTGTGCCTGGAGAAGTTTATTCATCTTTTCAAATGATTGCAGAACGTTAGTACTTTGGTCTTGGCTAATATATAAATTACATATGCACTTATTGTGTGCAGCAAAATATATGAAGAAATCCACATTACTTGGGTGATTCTGTTAGTATTGTATGAAAGAGCCACACACCTTGGCAAGCACTTAGAATCAGTCCATATGATGAGTGATGGGGTTCCTGGTTTGACAATGGCTACAGGTTTTTTTCATTTGATTGAATTAAGAATCTCATCGTAACATTGTGATTGAAATGGTGCCCACACTACACATACAGGGTCTGAAGTAACACCTGCAAAGCACCATATGTGAGTAGATTTTCCTTTCGTCAATAAAAGCTTTACACGTAAAAATACTTAGCGCCTTAGAACTGATGGGAATGTATTTGTAAGGAGTGACAGTCGGATCAAAAATGATGGATGGGTTTATTGAATTTCAGTTCAATTCAGTGGGGCTTAGTTGGCATGGGAAACAGATGTTTACTTAGCCAAAATCATGTAGATAAACAGAAGAATTTTCATCATTTAGATTGGTAAAATAAACATATATTTTTCAGTCTACCTAGTTTGTGCCTGCCTTTGTGGGTGCTTTGTTGTCTGACCCTCAGTCAAACCACAAACAGTTCCACAACTGTGACAGTTACCTGGCAGGTTGTTAAGCTGCGGGCAACAACATCCTTGTTAAGTCAGAATTTCGGCAAGCTTCCAGTAGCTGTCACTCCTCTCAGTGTAGTCTCTCTGGAGAGCCTGCAGGGGGCCAAAGTGCCTTGAGCTCTCATCTTTCATGCTGACAGCCTGTCTTTACAAGGCCCCAGGAAGCACCACAGATGGTGGATGGATAGTTCTTGACTCACAGTGCTTCTCCTAACCCCTCTGTAACCATAGTCAGCAGGAAAAGATTTTTGGCATCTGTGTTTAACACAGCATGTAGATGTTCTGAAAGTTTGTAAAATGCTAATTCACACATTTTCTCTGTATTGCCTCACAGGATTTGAGTTTGTAGAGGAGTTGCCTACCCCCACTTTCCAATTTGGAGGCAAGACCGGCAACAGTGTGACAGCACTCATCTTCAAGCGAGTACAGTGATTCATATGTCCATGGAATATATTTGTTTTTGTCCCATAAATTCTGCAGTTATTTCCCTATTTATCCCAAGAAATTCATACCACCTGTATACTTTAAGACAGTTTTATATATTATTTATCTGTAATGAAGCAGATATACAGTGTAAATGAGTGTCACAGTTCTCTTGAATTCAATAAATAAGTTTTTGTTTTGTTGCTGTTGTATTAACTTTACTTTGATCCACAGTGCTATAGGTACATAGTTATGTGAAATTGTTATGTGATATTTATAATACATTTACGCAGACAATTAAGATTTTTTTTTTTCATTCAATTTCAAGCCTACTTGCATTAAAAAAGGTGTTGCACATTGGAAGCAGGAGCTCATGTAGTATTTCAGAAATAGTGCTGAAGTAAGGTTCTGTAAATGTTTGTATGCATAGACAAGAATATCTGTTAACTCCTGTGTTTTCTGTGGATTACAAAGCAAAGTCATAATCTGTTGCTGAAGGTTTTTAATCTCACATTGCATAATGTGAACTAGTTTAAAAAGCTTATACACATGTAAGATACAGTCAGATTTACATTCATATTTTCCATGAAACCTTTTAGGTCTGATTAACGCATTCTCTCTTGGGCCCTTGATTTAATGACGTTTCCGATGTGTTGTGGCATGAAGAGTCTTTCACACATGAACTCTTCACCCCGTGCACCCACTAACACTGTAATATTACATTCCTGGGGCTTCTTGCACTAACAGTTTGAGTAGTTATCATAGGCCTATTTTGTGTTCCCTTTTAATGTAAGGGGGGCACTCAAAGAGAAAAGGAATATACGATTTGTACTGAACATTTTCCCCAATCCATACATCATGTTATAACCCTCAAATTACTTTGCATGGACCCTGTCGAGAGTCCTGACCCACAGTTTGATGCCAGTGTTCTGTCTTACTAGGTAGTTAATTGCATCCATCTTTCATGTCATGAAAAATAGCCCATACCTAATTTGCTAAACTGGAAACCAGCAGAGCTTGGGGTCCTGAGGACCATGATTAAGAATTTCTGAGATAATGAATAAACAAGAGGCCATGGCATATATAGAAGAGAAGCCTGTCTGCCATTTCCTTTCTCAATGGTGTCATTAATAACTGCCCAGCTCTGGATCCTAATTGCAAGCTGGGCCAGTGGTCCAATGGGAGCAGTCGATGTTGAGGCACGCTGTTGAGTAAACACATGGAAGCTTTACAAGAATTACTGCCTGGAATTTTACAAGGCTCTGGATATCCTGTCTGGATGTGGATATTATGCCCACGTTTACAAGTCTCAGAGATTTTCCCATGAAACCTCCATTGAGCGCCACCTCGAATGAACATCCTCTCCTTTACCTTTGTCAACAGTCACTGTCTTTGAAACATCTCGTCAGGCAGCTCTTTCAGTGTTGTTAATTGATCAACACTGAAATCATTAGATTTTAATACGTATGGAAGTTACCTCCTTGAACATACTGTAGCCCACCCATTTCCCTTGCACAGGTGCTGTTCCTAAGAAAGAGACTACACCACAATCCTGTAAGTAAAGTAGTGAGGTTTTTTTGGTCACTTTTGTGGATTCTGCACTATTGCAGTGATTAAATTATTCAGAAAAATCTTTACTTTTAGAGAAGCTGTTTAAAACATTATTTATGAAGAGCTTAGAAAGGCATTAATGGAGTCCTGCAAATCTGTAACACTGCTGACAGTCTGACTGTCTGAGACTGTGTACTGTAGACTCATTCGGGAAGTCAAACTGTCTTGTTTAAAGTGTGTTTGAATCAAAACGGAAGTTGGATCCATTTATCTCTAAAAAATATTTTATTACCATTCACCATGACCTAAAATAAAACATAAAACCGTTGATCTAGCTGGTTTAAACAGAGCTGTGCAGTACATTTACAACCGTCAGCACTTTCGGGTTGCTTTCGGGTTGGCACATGTTTGAAGCTACACTTTTATTCCACTCATAATATTAACCTATACGCTTTTAGTCTTGATGCCATAGCCCACTGGCTGCCCTACCAGCATGAATGCCATGCTTTCATTTTAACCTCTCAAGTGCGATACTGCAAATATTTATGTTTTTTCACTTCATCTCCCTGGAAACACGTTTGAAGGTCCCCTAATAGGATTTTCGTGGGTTGATTGAATTACTCCACCATGTTGCAATGAAGTTTTCCATCGCAGGAGAGCCAATGTGGAAGTGGGAAAGATTCCTCCTTCAAAGCATTGCAGACCTTTTCACACGTAAACCGTCTTTTGAGTAATGACTATTAAAGCTTCGTTTCAACATATATCAAGTTCATTAAGACCTTAAAGTTATTTTGTTATCGTTTTTGATACGTCTGGGTCATTGTTTTGGGCTTATTACGAGTACAACAGAGAAGGGAACGGTCAAAAGGCATGCTAACAACTTTCTTTGGTTAGCTATTTAGCGTAAATGTACCTTTCCTTGTAGTAGTGGGATGTCTACCCCTATTTGCATTTGCCATTTACATCAATGAAAGCATAGTAATACAAAGTAGCACATGAGTATTGTAAATGCCTGAGGGAGGACCGCAGCGGGACATACCAACTCGGAAGGGGTGAGGTACGTTTGTTGAAAATAAAACCTTGAGCCGTTTGTGATCATGCATTAAATAGTTTCGTTGTTTTCAATTGATAATTACGTCTTAACGATTAAACTGCAGTTATCTAGTACTCCCGTTGTTACACACGTTTGGTAGTCGGTCGCTCTCCTTCTCGTCTCCCCCTCGTCGACGTGGTTTGTTCGTACGCGGATATTGTTACAACCAGTGCTGAAGGCTGAACGCAGCGGTGAGCCCTCAGCTGCTCGCAGTCCTGCTCAGTCCTGCGCTGGCAACGCTGAACTGGCGGCTGCAACTGCGAGAAACTTATTTTTCTGCCTTCCCTTTGTCGAAGATGACCTAACTTCGAAAGAGCCTCTGCTGGCCAGGTAGTAGGGCATTTGTTCAGATACATGATCATTTTTAACTGTGTTCAGCCACGCATCGACACGTTTCTTCTTTCACTGCTGTGGAGTTTAAAGCTACTTTGTCTGCTCATGCTGGGTTTCGTATGTGAGTTAAACGTTGGGACACCCCTGTTAGGCTTTCAGACACAACTCCGCAAACAGATACGTCTTGTTTTATTGAATTACTTATTATGGCATTTTGTCAACCAGTCTGTGCTAACTTTAACTCAGATTAGGGACAAAAAAGTGCAGCTTGTGGCATGTGGCACTCTTTATGGATGTCACATTGTGACTCCAGTTTAAGTAAGTTATTACAACGTTTCTTGACAAAATCAGCTGTTGTGGACTTTGCAAGTGAGTCTGGCATCTGAATGAGTAAATCTGCTTTAGCTCGCCCAGCCTGACTAACCTGTTGCTGGCATTGCATGTGTCTGCTTAATAACCTGCTTTAGAGGGGTGCACACTTTAACCAAGCTCATTGAGTCAGCAAAGTCCCCTCCATCGATCAGCCGTGGCAATAAAGCTGAGGCTTTGTCAAATACAGTACCTGTAGGTGGAGAGGCAGCGTGGGTGCTCTGCCACTTGTATTGCCACAGATCTCTTCACCACAACCCCTGAGAGGAGATTGAGTCATAAGGCCTGGTTGCATCTGTCACCAATCTCCACCACACATTTTAGGCTTTTGTTTCCTCTTGAGATAGAGATTTGTAATCACTAATTGCCCTGTGTTTCTGAAGATGCATCATAGCAGAAGGTGATTGTTTTTTTTTTTTTTTCTCTCTCTTTTGAAACTATGAGCAACTTTCTTCTTCCTCAATATTGTTCCAGTTTTCAGAGCAAATATAAAAGGCTGCGTCTTTGGGGTCCAATTAGAATGACACAGTTCTAGTCTGTTGTTACATTTACACTACATGATAGTCATATTATACAAAACCAATGTATTACACATTTATGAAACGGCGCTTACCCACAGTGATAAGAACTGATAAGATACTGATAAGAACATACAGAACAGTCTGCCCACCCTAAGCCTAAAATATTTTATTGTTTATTTAAGTTAATATCTTTTTTTTATAGTTAGTTATGTGTAGATGTGTTGATGTCTTAATCACAGGACAGGGTTCACACTCTTTTTGAAACTACTTTATTAGGTTCTTAGTTCAAAATGAAAGCTGCTCTGAATATGTAGCACCTTGGCAGTGAAGCACTAAACTGCTTATTTGTCAGCATTGTTTACTTGTGTGGGTTAGGAAGTGTTTTGCCCTGTCTAATATTTTACGGCAGTTGGTAGATCTGTGTGGACACCTTAAACACAACACCATGAAGAACTGGTTTGATACCAGGGTACCCTTATTGAAAATACCTGGAAATATTTTTTGCTGCCACCATAGCGGTATTTGTCCTTGACTCGCAGGGACGACTAGCCCGTTTGGTTAACTAAACAAGAAATGTCTGTGGTTGTCTCAAGAATCCGGCTCAGAAAATGCTCTCACAAACGCAAGGTGTAGCAGAAGTTCAGGTGGGTAGGGAAGCAAAGAGCTGGGCTAAGATTTAATCACATGTCAGCTCTAGTGTCTAATTACAAAGAGGATGTTGATAAGGGGGGCCTCACAAATAATGGTTAGGCTCAGGGGAAACCTGTTCTGAGTATTTCTGATCTGCCTTTCTAGTTTGGGGAATACTGTGATGATTACACCTTGCTTTGATTTCCAAAATCGCTACTGTTGGAATGTTACAGCTTGGTGTGAACACGCAGGTTTTAATCCTACAAATTCTATCACACAAACCGGCAAATGTGTTGTTTAGTGTACTGTAAATGTATCTCAAAAATGTTCTACACTGGTTTCAGTGCCTGTACAAAGTTTTTTGACACCCTACTTTGACAAATGTAAAAGACCTTCTTTATTTAATAAAATGAACCAAACTTGTCAACACAAACCAGCCATATAAGAACTTTGACTAAATAGGTATAAAAATTAGTAAAAGCTATTCTAATAAACCTTTCAGTGACCGTTTTTAATACTCTGTTGAGGAAACGTTTGATCTTGACTCAAGAGAGGTTTGCTACCCAGCCCAATATCTGACTAAAGAGGAAGAAGTAAGTTAACACATTCTCATGTTGCTGGTAATTAGTTTTTCTTTTTAATATTATTGCACTTAACTTGATGCACGTTCAATTGTACTCAGCTCTAGCATTCTGTAAACTTGTTTTGGACATACTATAGACATAATTTATGGAAGCAATAAAGGCCCGTGGGTTTTTAAAGGGGATCACTCTGCACTCCAGTCCAGTGTGTGCTTAAGATGCACACATTTGCAATGCCTTTGTGTTGCTGGCAGAAGGCCCTATTAGAGCCCCATTCTGTCAGTGGGCAGCTGTGTGCCTGTGTACTGAGCAAGCCACTGGCTCATTCTCCGTCTGTGTATACAACTCTCCCTCAGTCCACACACTGACACACATTCGGTCACTTTCCACCATCTGTCTGTTGATCTCTTTTATTATAATTTTTTTTGGACTTTCTGTATCTTTCAGTCTCACTTTTTGCCTGTTTTCTGCTGTTATTTGTCTTCCTGTTGCACTAATACTGTGGCTCTCTTTCTTTCGCTTGTTCTCTGGCCCGAGGCATTATGCAAAGCTACCAGAAAAGGATTGTTAGCCATGCTTGCCTCCGTGCTACTCTCTATTCATTTCAGAAGCTTCCCTTTCTTCTCTGTGACCTGCAGTCATAACTGCTGCTGGCTTCAGACACACTGAAGCTCATACCACTTGGCTTCAGGGAGTTAAAAACAAGTACCTTATTTATTTGTTTTTGTCAGTATATTTGTTTCAATGCTGTTATTCCTCTTTTGTATATTCCCTCCTCATTAACATGATAGATTTGTAAGTCTGGCGTCTCGACGCCCACAGAGCCAAAGACCTGCAGCTGAAAAGAAAAGAAAAGAGGCATTCTCACATACACCAGAGAAGCACTCCCCCAACCCCCCAAGACAAGCACCAGACTTGAAAAGCATTCTGGGATGCAATAGGAATGCTCCCATCAACACATCCTACTGTGGTGTTTCTATGTGTTGATAGTGAAGAATCATAAGTTTAAAAAGATGTTGGCTCTGGTGTTTCTTTTTGATCCTTAAATTAGTGACTTTATACCCTTGAGTCTTGGTTTTATCTCCATCTGAAAAAAGAGAAGACTTTAGTCGCATTGATTTGTTAGTCAGTGTGTTTCTGTACCCAGTGCCTGAAGGTATTAAGGTGTTGTATGCAGAAGGTGTGTTTGTACCCGTCTGCATGATCTGTATTCTTCCAGACCTGTACTCCAGATGAGCTAATGTTTTGTCTCTTCTTGAAGTGTGTCATAACAATGTTATGAATGACAGTGGTTGGCATTGTTCGGTTTATTTTCCTCAGCTGCTCTGGATAGGTTTCTCCTCAAAATGTCAGCCGTCGCATATAGCTCCCCTCTGAATCATCTGTAGATCCAGTCTGGTGAAACTATCCCTCAATTGCATCCCCTGGAAAAAAGAGAAATGAAAGCCTCTGTTAGTGTTTGGCACAGACAGTCTAATTTGATGTATTTTTAGAACCTGTTTTCCGCAGTTTTGACAAAACTTAACCTTCCAAGGTATACATATAACTGCAGTAGCTTTTCCTTATGCAAGACTGACATTTAATGTGTTGCATTCTCTAAAGGTGGATCTTTGTGTAAGCCTAGGTTTGACATCAGAGCCAATGTTTCCTGATAATCCTGCCTTACACAAAGAGGACCAGTTATCATGTGTCGGAAGGGGTGAAACGTGTCATAACTTCTGGCTGTAGGCTTCTACGCTGTATTCTAATTGGTTCTCAGTAGTTGTTTGAGTTGGGTTTGAGTCTGTCAGCATGTTTTACATACACCTGCAGGTTATTCCAAACAATAGCACAAGACTGAACACCAGCAAGCAAGATTTGCAACCTTAGCCTACTGGCAGCAGATCAGCTGATTTACTTCAGAATGTCAGGAAGTAGATTTAGGATGGTGCAGTCAGAGGTCTAACAGAAATATTGTATAGAGAGAAGTTTAAGCCAATCTCTAGTTTGTGTGTTAGTGAGCAAATTTTCACTCTCATTTCAATTTATAGCCTCGTAAAAGTGAAAGATGGCTCGCTACTTTCTTGTTGGACCTTTTATCACTACACAGTGTGGGTGTAATAATTCATTCCAATAACAATTAGACTTTTTTCAGCAAGCATTAGATCAAATCACACATTGTGTCCACAATTTGATTTGATGTGATTTTTATTATAATGAAATCATTGCCACAAGTATAACAGCTCTATAGATGTAGAAACAACAATGATCGGTCATTATTATTATTATTATTAAAATGTGTGCAAACTGTGCGCTAATGGACAAGTTAAAGTTGATGTTAAGCACGGCAGAATGGATTTTATACGTATTAGCTGTGTAAATAGTAGTCTGTCGGTGGTGTGACAACACCCAAAACGAAACACATTCAGTTTGTTTTTTAAGTCTTCCTCTTCAGTGCATTGCGATGCATCTGTTTTACACTCCTACTACTCACTATGGTGTGCAGTCAGAGGTCCATATGGTTAGCTGACCCCCCTCATGGATGAATCAATGGGCTGATGGAATGCTGCTCGTAGTTTTCTTTTGGACATTTTCTCACCCATACACCCACTCAACTCACCCATAATACACCCCCACAACATGAGCATGGTATTATGTAACAGCAGTAATGTCACTTTATTACTTGATTGGTAGTGACAATCTGTATACATACGTCACTTGCTTACACAAGATAGGAGCGGTCGCCCTTATAGAGCTGAGCAATTACAGGGGATTGCTAGCAGTGCTGGAGGATCCCATGTAATGTATCCCTGATGGATTAGAGCTCTGGTTAGTGTGCACAGAACAGAACAGGCACTCATAGATAATGGAAGAAACCACAGACGGAAAGGCAAGGATTGAAAGGGGGGTAGTGTAATTAGTGGGGTACCTGATGTATGGAAAGTCATGGCATGCAAGGGTCACTTCAGGGGGCAAGAGGCCCCATACCTTCCTTTACTCAAACTGAAACACCTGATCCTATGCCTGCCAAGCTTCTTAAAGATTTCAGTTAACTAAGGCCTGGTCTGAGACACAGGAGTCAACCCCAAATAAATTTCAGGCTCAAGTAGAGAAGAAGAAGTGTTGTTTGCAGGTTGTATATCATCATGCTGCAGCTTAGTACACTGGCCTTGTTCAATAGTCCAGGTCCTACAGCAAACACACTGATAAAGAAACTGATGAGCTATTCAGATATTATTCTTTACTCGCTGGTTGATGTCTGCCTTTTTCACATCAGCAGTTGTCACTGTTTTTGTGTTTGGTTGCTATGGTTACCTATTCACTTCATAGAAACAGTGTACTACTTAGCAACTGTTTTATGAAGTAAGTCAAAGAGAAACTGGCCCCTAGACATATCTGTGAATAATCTTACTGAATTGATGTTACTTTAATGCTTGGTGGTGTGACTAGATAATTCAACATTTCATGTTACACATTACTTATCTTATCTTAAAGCCATCGCATATACTGTAAGTTAATATAGTGGGGGCAGTAAATTATGGTGGGATGTGATGTTTGTGGCTCTAGCTTTTTGTGTTCTTCTTGTGTTCTTTTTTGAAAGCAGGAGTGGTCATTAAGGCATTTTATTTGAAGTTAACTCTGTGTCATAATGCTTTCTGGATATCACTTGGGGTTGTCTCTCTTCGTGTATTTGGTAATAAGTCAGTGCGTTCCACACCCAATTCAGCAGTGGCATGTGACCACAAGGGAAGCACAACCCCATACACTGCAAAGGGAAGTGCGGTTGCACATGCGTGTTATGCTAGAGTGTCTTCACGCCAACTAAGCAGTGAGAAGGACACGATTATTAACTGGACTTTCAGGTTGACGCTTGAGAAATTCTCAAAAAGTTCTTTGAGTTATGATTCCCGCTTCTGTTTTAACTGCAGAGCTGTTGTTATAGGTAACCACTCCTATACAAAGTAAAAAATAAAGCAAATGATCTTTTTGAATTGCTCATTAAGTAGGGACTTTAAGTGCTGGCTGTATTTATGTTGAGGTTTATGGTCATGGTCGTTAGAGAAACGTTCAGGGGAATCTGCAAACGGAGGCCAGAACCTGACTACTGGCAACGCATAAAGTTTGACTGAATGAGCTCTTCATTGTTTACGCACTTCTGAAGATCTAGTGGTGTGATGGCGTGTTGTTTTTGGCCAGCATTCCCGTGCCACTGGGTACTAGGGTGATGGCCAGAGCATTCAGTGGTATGTCTTGACCTCCCTAGGACCATGTTTACGACCTCGGCCTCATTATATGAGAGCGGGGTGGCTGTGTGTTCACCCTGAATTAACAATCTACACCGCAGACTTTAACAAAAGAATGGCTTCACCCCAGACCACAGAAAACCTGAGCGTGCAAAACGTTTCTTTTTAATGCTTTAATTTTGCTTCCCATGGCCATGTCGACTACGTTAAACAGGTTTCAACATCCAACTTCTTGCACCAGAAAATATGTTCAAGCAATGCCAGTCAGATCAGAGAAAACGCACTAAAACTGACATTTAAGCTTTTTAAAAACAAGACTCTCATATACACTCTCAGATGTGTTTTTACTTGTATCACCCATGCGGTATTTTGTTTGTTTGGTCCTCGTCATTTCATTAGTATGAAATTAGTTTGTTTCTTTCAGCTGCAGCCACCGATCAAAGTCTTGACACCAGACGCGCTCCGCACAAGTATGCAGTGACCAAAGCCAATTGGTGATGGACACCAAACACCCCGTCACAGAACTTTAGGGGGCCCCAAATAGGCTTCTATTTATCTGCCTGTACAAATCACAGCCTGGGCAAGGAGCCATATTATCTTAGCTGCCCTTTCTAGTGCCGTCCTGAGTCACTGGCTATTGTGAGCCAAGAGCTGCTGTCTGCACCTCAGCGTACACAAATCTGACTAGAATTGCCATTCGATTTTAGTCCACAATGGAGGCAAACTTTAGTTAAATGAACATAGAATGTTTCACAGGCCCAAACAATATCATAGTTTCTATTTAGTGATGAAGCTTTCCTTCAGTTTAGTTCATTTGACAAAAAATAGCAAAGGCAGATGGCGCTCCTTCTCGTATGGCAAGGCTCAGTAGACGTTTGCCTGGGATAGGCGTTTATTGCAAGTACGGTAAGTAGATGATTATGACTACAGGGGCCCGTCTCATTCTTGATCACAACTTGCTTGAGGACTGTTTTTCAAACTGGAATAACAGGGCAGCTGTCCTGAAAATGTCTAAATTGTTTGTAATTAAACTAATCTGAAGGGAGGTCTAGCACATCCAGTCATAAGGGCATGCTTCATTTCATATCTACAATGCATTGTTTAAATTATTGTGTACAATATTTGGTTGGGAGTATCAAGATACTCATCATCATTTAAGCCATTCCCCTTTGTTTGCTGATTGATCCGGCTTTAAGATACCTGCATCGATTCTCAGTGGAGGATGTAAAAAGGAGCATTTAACAAACCACATAATGAAGACGGTTAATATAATAGTCTTCATACTTGTACATGAGGTGTCTTGCAATCTGATCTCTTGATGAATTTTCTTTAGTATGGCAGCAAGTCAAACAAAAAACGGTGAGATGCAGCCGAGACTTTAAGCATTGACGGTCTGATCAGTAGAGGCTCTACAGAAGTGCTCTACAGTCCTCTTACCATTAAGCTCTGGTTTCCCCATCATGCGGAGTTGGTTCATTAAGTAAGCATGGCTCCAGGTTTGAATTCACACCCGGTCTGCCTTCTCCCATGACCCCACTTGCCAGCCACAACACGCTACACATGCACGAGTGCAGGTTAGTATAAACAGATGTGCATGTATAGATATAGTCTCATTCTCACCCTGAAGGAACATGTCACACTTCTTAACTGCATCAATCAAACAGTTCACTGTAACAACAATTACACGATTACCATGCTCCTCTACTCCCACTCTGTCTGACACAAGGGATGGGTGATACCAAACCTTTAATTTGATATGAAACTGGTCATTTTTGTTACAATTTGAATGATACCAATGTAGATACAGACTCTACCACCACCACCAGCCCCTCTTGCCTGCGGAGGCCCAGTTGTGCTCCACTGACTCTCCGGGATAAATGGAGATAATGGGAGTCATATGCTAGCAGTTGGTTTGGGGCAGGCTTACATGAAACATTTATAGTCTTCATGTAGTCATGAGGCTAGAGAAGAGTGAAGTGATAGTGATGACATAGTGAAGCAACAAGATATGACTAGACTGGGATGAAATTGCTCCTTGTGTGAACAACCTGCTCACTTCTTCTTTTTATGTTGTCCCATTTTTCTTTGCACAAGTTACTGTCCCACAAACTCCATTTTATACCCAGTGAACACTGGCATGCTTTTCTCTAAAGAATGTTCTATAAGTGCAACAACCCTTACTTAACATGAAACCACATGTTACACGGGCAGGATAACATAGTAGGCCTGGAAGATCCATTAGCCTCATGTGTTGCTCCACGGCAGAAAGCTGTCATTAGCCAACAGTTGATTGGGGGATCTGAACCATGCTGGTACTCTCTAATTGGATGCACTTAGTGTGTTTGGTGGTTGGTTAATGATGGAGAGAAGCTCAAGCCGAAGGTCACTGAAGCTATTCCTATCCAACCGTACTAAGGATGATGAAGGCGTAACTGAACTGGCCCATCATTTACTTATATCTTTTGTGCATTAAGTAGTATCAGAAAGGGTGAGTAGAGCAGACATGATGAGGCATGTTTAGTAAAAAAAATCTGCTTTGCATATAACTCCCTCCAAGCATTTGAGAGTTTGCGTTTTAATACAGATACTGTCTGTGTTTTACAATCTGCGGGTGCAGACAGTCAATGCAGCAACCACAGCTGTCTATATATGTTCATTTTCTGTTCATGTTTCTTTGCCACAACATGTCTTTTCCTGGATTAGCTAGACTTTGTGCTTTCCGTTACAGCATGTTTAGATTCCCATATGTTCTCTGGATAATGTGGACTTAAATGTTCATTTAGTCACAGGGATATGGCAGCATGTTTTGTTTACAAAGACAGTAGCTTTATAGGCGTGTAGCTATATGGAGAACTTACTATAAGTGTCAGGATGTTGAATAGAAAAACACATGTCAAACACATGTCAGCAATCCTGTTTCTCAATTTTTTTCATTTGCCTTCAAAAATCAAACATTGGGTTATTCTGATCTTATTAGACTTCATTCCGGCACCTTGCATACTTTCTTTACAAAATTACCAATTAAAAATATGAATTAACTAATAATTAACTTAAGTCAGGGGGACAGACATTTTAGTTGGTGCGTCAGATTACGCCGACTGATCGCTATTTGCCTATAATAGTTTTAGGCTATGCTCAAACGTGAATTGTGTTTAGGCCCGTGTCTTTGTTCATTGTCTGCCAGACAGATACACCCAAAAGCTGGATTTGTGTTGTGATAACATAAAATCCTGCAATATAAACCTTAGAAAGAACTTTGAGCGTAAATGAGAATTTAAATGTTTCTTTCTGTCATCTCTTTCTGACAACACAGGGATCAGCTGAAGTGTCCTACCTCCACCTCCACCATCATCAGCACTCGAGGGCTGCACTGCAGATGGGAGGTCAAATACCTTCCACCCTCATCTAACATGGCTGCCCGTGGCCTTCTTCTGCATCAAAACAGACTGGAGCAGAGCTGTGCATTACCATGGTGATCATCTTCTTGAAAACACTGGAAAAGAAGAAGGGAGTCAGTGATGTAAGGTGCAAAAACATCGAGAGACGGCTGGTGAGAGAAACAAGCTAACCGGTTGTTAACTCTTGTTGCAGTTAAGGCTCTGAAGTGTTTCACATGTTTGGCAGTGGTCAGCAAAATGAATAGGCCAGCAGTGGTTATATTCTACATAACCACATGCCACAGACGCCACCTCTAGTCAAGTTTTATTCACATAAGGCAGATTGCAATCTAGTAGCCTGTTTGCACCAAATGAGTAATTTTATCTGTATCTATCTTTAGCTATCATCATTGTGACAGTGAAATGAAAACTAAGCTTTTCCTTTTTGGGGGCTGTCTTACCCCCTGCCAGATCCATATCACTTTCATCTTTTGTGTGTTCAGTGCAGCATGTGTTTAGCCTAGCTTAACGCAAAGATTTAAAGCAGGGGGGAAAGCTAGCCTAATTTAGCTTAGTCCAAAGTTGGGTAAAAAATACATTCTCCAAGCCAGTTGTTTTTTATAGGCCTATGTTGTGTATTTTACATTTGTAAAACAGAAAATAAAACAAGATATTGTGGTTGAAGAAGGAGTTAGCTTGTTAGTATTTTGCTTATCGCTAGTCCCACTAGTCTTTTCACAGTGTTGTAAATAAAGTATGTTGTAAATAAAGTATGTTGACATGTAACTTTGATGGTTTTTGGAGTCTTGAGAGCCTTTTCCGTGAACGAAATCATTTAATATATGATGGCTTCTGGACATTTTAGTTGTTTTGGATACCAAGCTTAATATTGCATTTTCACTCATCACTTAACTTTGTTAAAGGCCTGCTGAGGTTTTAGTGTATTCATTGTTTCATTTAAACGTCTTCTGCTACATTTATAAGCTTTATTTTGGAATCTATGCCTTGTATCTTAGAAATCATTTGTTGTTGTGGTAATAACCTCAAGGTGAGTCAGAGCAAAGTTTCATTGCATTTTCCTTTTGTCCTTTGTGCAAACAGCCACCACCCTTTTGTAAGAAATTAACTGTGAGAGGATAGGTGTCTGATATAAGATAGGCATGCTCAGACAAAACCCCAAATAGCATTTGTTCTTTTAAAAAGACATAGTATAAAACAAACAACATGTGAAGTTTATTAATATGGCTCTCGACAAGGTAAAATTGTCCAACAATTTCTTAAAAGAAAATTTTGAGCAAACTGTGTAATTTGTGTCTGGCCTTACAAGCTTAAAAGAATAATATGGCATTATTAAATGAATGTGCTTATGGTATTACATACACAATATAGAAAAGACAGGTTTGTTTTCACTTTTGAGAGAGCTAGCCTACGGTAGCAGTTTCTTTTGTTTTTAGCCTTTTGCTAAGCTAGGCTTTGCACAGCGGTGGAAGAAGTGTTCGGTAAAAGTGGCAATACCACAATAGCAGCAGACATGGATCAAAATTTGCATACATTTGGAGTTTCTCCACCATACGAAATCCAGTAGTCACTGTTATAGGCTAGTGTCATAGTTTTAGCTGCTAAATGCTCCACTCTGTTCACCAGATAGCTAAGTTTGACTGCTAAACAGGTAGTTTACTGTGGGATTATCAGAATTTATCGCTGAAAACATCTGCCTGCTTTGGGAAATGATACTGATGAGAGTGAACCAAAACAATAAAGTTGCAGGCCGTAAAACTAAAACAATAAGCTGAAAGATGTTGTAAAGGTCCGTAGAGTCGCGTGTTAATTCTCTGTGGATTCATCACTACGAGCAACACCTTTTCACATTACACACAGTCATTTGATCTATTGTTAATATAAAGAGCAGTGCAGCTTTAAGAAAGTATACATTTCAAAGTTGTGTCTGGTTGAGGTGGAGTTTTTTCAACTGTTATATACTGTTGGGTTGGGTAGGTTAATCTGTGCCATTGGGAAGGTTAATCTGTCTAACAACAAAGTAACTTGGAATTATAGCTGTCAAATAAATGTAGTGGAGTAAAAAGTGCATTTCCCTTTCAAATATAGTGGAGCGGAGTTGCATAGAATGAAAATACTCAACTAAAATGCAGGTACCTCAGAATTGCACTTGTGTAAATTTACTTTTCCATCACTGGGTTATTACCATTATGTTATGGACAGGGGTACTAAACGTGCAGATATGAAATTGACATTGATCTTCTCATTTGATTGTGGGTTGAGGGCAAACATGTTATTTGCACTTTTGGGTTTGTTTTGTATCTTTCTGACTGTCTGTTTGTCTGTCCTCCACAGCGTGACCTCCACACCATGAGCAGAGGGACCACCCTCTTCTCCTGTGGAACTGTGGGTGAGTTATCTCCATGATCTCCATTTATGTCTTTCGGTTTGTCTTTCCTTCTGTGCTTCCTCTTTCAAGCAATAAAAAATCATTCATTCATTCATTCATTCATTCATTTCTTTCCTCTGCACTCAAGATATGGACCGTAACAATGGCTGGTAATTTCACAAATGTAATAGCATAATGGATTGCCCCTTTTAATCCCATGACAAGTTGAACCGTCAATGTCAGCGACCCCCCACTAAAACTATCTCATTGTTTATCCCCTCTGTCGCACTCAGTCTCTCACTTCTCCCTTTCTCTGTCTGTCACTCATCCCCCTCTCATGATCAGGGTGCACCTGCCTCCACACAACGTTGCACACCACTCTCATGGGAGTGAACTGTAATTGAATATGCTGTTGCCTATGTCAACAATTTCCCTTTTGGCTCTGTCAATGTTGCAGTAATTACCCCCTCTGTTAAAAGACATGCTACTGTTACACACACACACACGATCACTCATGACGTAGTGGCGTCATAGGGAGGAGCGTGGCGTACTGTTTCCACTGTTAATGTTGACATTAACTTTGTTTAGCATGTCTTGTTAGTTCAACCAGCACTTTGTCTCTTGCTTTCAAAGGGTGGCCTTTTTGAAGTTCATCCCTTTCTCCCTTTGTCAAGTTCTTTTTCTAACATTCCTGTCAGGTCGTCACTTTAGCCCCCGTACATTGTTTGTCCACCCAAAACAATGATTTCCTTCCACCAGTCTGTGAGAGAGCGTGCCAAAATTAGAGACAAGCATCCAAAAGGATGGAATTTGGATCAGCAAGGGGCCCTTTTTGCCAAAAGCTTCAATAGATTCACGACTTAACCACTTGGCTTTGTAGCTCAAGCCACTATGGCACTTTACTGTAGGTGTATTATCTCCCACAACTGTGTTATTGACTCTTTTGTGTGGATGGTGAGACAGCTGGCAAGTTGTACTGCTTTCCAAAGCATATTTAGTCAAGCTTGACTAATGGGGGGTGACTTGCCAACTGTTTCACTGGCTGATTCTTATCGTAATATGTAGTTCATGTTTTTGGAATCTGCAGGTCCAGGTTTAAAATAGTCAGGAATGTGGAAGTTGCTTGTTTGTCCGCAGGATAACTCCTAAACAGCATCAGTTACATTTGGTGGGCTGACATGTCTTGGGCTGAGGAACAGTCAGATCTCATTGGTCATCTAGGATTTCTACCATAGATAACTGTAGGTTGTTTTTTTTGTCCGCACGTATGAAAGTAATCAGACATATACTTTCTAATACTATGAGTCATGACTTACAGCTGAGGTTTCTCTGCGTGTCTTAAGCTGTGAATAATAATCAGACATAACTAGTGGTGGGCCGTTATCGGCGTTAACGTGCTGCGTTAACGTGAGACTCTTATCGGGCGATAAAAAAAAATATCGCCGTTAATCTATTCTCGAAGTTGGGATGGGAGCTGGGTCTGTAGGGGAGAGCCGGGACGATTGATACGCGGGACGAATGAAACACAGCGATTTTCTCGGAGCCCATACAAGTCTGATATGCCAAACTACCTCAGCACATACAGTCCACAGTACAGGGAAAAATCAGGTGGATACGTCACACTTTCAGAGTTATATGAAAGAAGCTGTTTTCAATCACAGAAAGTAAATTCACTCAAGCAATCTTTTGCGCCATGGTCGTGATCACATAAAAGATTAGTTAGTACTTTAACAAATCCTGAAGTTTTAAATGTCAAAGTTTTACAGTTTATAAGCTAGTGAAGTTTAAACGTCAAGAGTCACTGTCGGGACGATTGACACAGGTGTTTCATTCGTCCCGAAACGCAGCCATTCTACCTTATTTAGATACGGCGGGAGGGGGGCAGAGTCCACTAGGCTGCAGGCTGGACCACCAGGATGCTCACAGCCAAATAACGGGATCTTCACAGTTGACTAGGAAAACAGGCTGCAGATGTAGGCCTACTACGCAAGCTATGATGACTTTCACCTTGATATTTTAGCGCAGATGTATACCTAGCCGAATTGCACTGTAGGGGGCGAGAACGAGTCTTCGAACCTGTGTGTATGCCTACTGTGAAATTACCACATCAAACGTGACGTGATGTGACATGGATGCTGCTATGAAGCCGCCAGGTTTGCTTCAAGGAAAATGTATTTTTAAGAAGCTTCCCAGTGGTTTTCTCAAGCAGTTTGTGATGCATTTTGGAAACAGGAGATGAGCCCCTGGTCTAATGCGCCACGTGGCTTGATAAACCCGTTCTCAAGGACTTACTTTTAGTCATTATTTGGGTAGCACACATATTCTGAATGCCTTCGGCAGAATTCAAATGAGCCATTTTAATCTAGATTAATTCCAAGATTACAGTGAGATTAATCTAGATTAAAAAAATTAATCTATGCCCACCACTAGACATAACACATAGTGATCTCAATGAGTGATACTTTTGGCCTCTAAACCATACAGTGCATTATAATCAGCACAACCAAATTCTTCATAAGAAAAAAAAAAAATGAAAATTGAATATCAGTTTTAAAATGCCTCTATGCTTGCAGAAAATTACATCTTGCTGTTAGTTTTGTTTTTCAGCTACAGTTACACATGATCAGCTCTGCTTTGGACTGTGCAGCTGCCGTGTTATTCCCTCTATGCTTAATGCTGTTGTTCATTTTAAGACAAATGACTGCGGACAAATAATTATTTTGTTAAATGTAGCAATATGCTGCTTGCTGGCCAACATGGACCACCGTAGACTAGACTACCTCTCCTGAGTCGTAAGAAGGTGGCGTTGTTTTCCCCAAGCAACAACAAATCTGCAAGCATACAGCTTGAGCAGTGGCTATTTGTGTGTGAGGGCAGGGTTTTGAGGGAAAGAATGATCAAATTTGAACATGAAATCAATGAGTCATGTATTGAAAGCCCACGCTCTTGAATAAAGATAAGAAAAAAGGTCCATACAACAAAGCTCAATTGTGATTCATGTGCTTAGTGCTGCCTTAAATTACTTTAAATGTGTGTTTCTTCCATACTGTAGTTACCAGACAATAATCTTTTTTTTTCAACAGTTTGTCCTTATGGCAATCATTCCCTCTTGCCTTAAGCTTATTTCTGTACAGTTGGGCCTTTTTGTGCCTGTGTGTTAAGGATTAAATGTTCATTTCAGCTATTATTACCTTCCTTTAAGCTAGAGTTGATCATACTATAAATAACATGCAAGTTTTGCTCATTATTTAATTGTTGCACAGATAAAGACTTGTGAGTTTGTATGTTTTGAATATTACAGAGGCAGATAGGTGGCTGGACCTCGGTCAAAGCTGTGCCATCCAGCAGAGAGCTCCCTGCCAGTCTGGTGCCAGTCTGGAGAGCCTGTGGGATGTGATGCCTGAGCCGGGGAGCTGGCACTGGGCCAAGGAGCCAGGCAGTGCCACAGCAATCACCAGTCTGATAAGAGACCTCAGCCTCGGTGACGGCAGCGTGACCAGCCCCCACTCCCACACCCCGTCCACCACTGCACACTACACCATTACACCTACCAACCAAGCTCCTACGGCACCTCCAAGCAAACGTCAGTGTCGCTCCCTGTCTTTCTCTGATGAATTCAGTGGGTCACGCTCATCTTGGAGGCCCCAAGTCTCCCGGGTGTGGACAACGGTGGAGAAACGCAGGTGCCACAGTGGAGGAAGTGTCCGAGGAGGTGGGGGTTTCTCCAGCGGCCATTTTCCTTCCATGCAGCGTAGCTCCAGCTTCAGTTTGCCCTCACGCTCCCACATTCCTTCAGATGGAGCCCTGGACCTGCCATTCTTCAACCAGCAACTGCCTCTCCACCCTCAATTCACTGCCTCTCCAGTCTCCCCTACCTCGCCTTCCTCGCATAATCACCACTCCCGCCATCACCACTTCCTCAGGCCTCTCTCCCTCTCCCATGAGCAGATCAGCCTGCCAGAGCTTCAGTGGGCAGAGGCGTCGGAGGCCAGCTCTCCAGACTCCACCCCAGAACTGGGGAGGCGAGCCGTCCCGAGAGCCGGGGGTACGGGGTGTCTGTCTCGGAGCAGGTCCCAGCCCTGCGTGCTAAACGACAAAAAGATTGGTATGAAGCGCAGGAGACCAGAAGATGCCCAGGAGCAGCGGCCCTCCCTGGACCTGGCAAAGATGACTCAGGTTAGCTGGAAATGTTAAACACATGTTGACAGGCACAGACAAGCATGCACACTCACATTCATTTGAATGCACTTGTAATTTGACTCATTGAGTTTAATATCACTGTAATCCACTGATTAGAAATAAGCGGATGCTGATTTATGTTTAAACTTGCTTTAATGCTACAAATTGTCTTCTATTGCATTTAATTAAGTCCTGGACCAAATGCCCTTACCACAAGGTACATTTTTGTACTTAGACCAAGGGGAAGTTCAAGAGATCTTCAAACATAACTGGGCCTGTCTCTCTCTCTGGGCCTGACTGAATTAAGATTTCTGGGTCGTCAGTCCAAGGCTTTAGGGCTAAGTGATCTCAGGCTTCCCTCCTTCCAGCTCAGGGAGTGGTGCTTACTAAAGAAGCATTCCTCATGTTCGGTCACGCTGCCTATACCACGCTCTAGCAAGCCCTGCTCCGGTTTATCATTTAATTTACTCTGTTGGGTAAACGGCCCATCCAAAGGTTGGTCGCCTTGCCGTACATATGCTTCCTCTCTGCAACGTCTACCCTGTATTTCATTCATTTCATTGCATTCATTCCTGCAGCTAGAATAACTGAAGGTGATTAGATATTTGGATGCGCAGAACTGCGTATTACTTTGCCCATGACAAGAGTTTGTTTGTTCTTTTTGTAAGGTCAGAGGAAGCAGTGGAACGGAGTCTAAATGACCCCTGGACAAAACCAAACCTAAAATAGAACCGTAGAAGTATTTTAATGACATGTACTGTTTTGATGCTTGGCAGTGCTCTGATTTTTTTATACGGAGCACAGAAAGATCTTGATTTTGTTCACATCACATCCTTCTTCATTATTTATGTGGAAGCTCTTGAAATTCTGGACAGAAACAAGTACCAATAGCAGCCACTGATACCACAGCCAACCTAACATGATGTAACGACTCAGTTCTCGGATTGTAGTCCCTGCTTTTCTGCACTTATGTCATTGATATGGTGCGCTAAAATCTGCCTTTATCACACCTCCTGTCACAGACATATTGTACTTTTCCTGTTTTCTTATTAGAAAGTACCATCAATTTATCCCTCTACCCTCCCTTCCTCCTCCCAAAGATTTGTGTTCCCAGCCAGTCCCCCTCAGGACCTAGCCAGAGTTGGATAAACAGGGCTTCAGTAATGGAGACTAGCGAGCATGTTTCCTCTAGTTATGCCAGCTACTAAAAGGGGAAAATCAAGAACGATGATTGTACATACACGTAGAGATACAAACACACACACATGGAGTCAGTTTTACCTCTGGTTGCAGCAACACTTGAATGCAGGTGCAGACCTCTGCAGACGTAGTATCTCATTGTCATTGTTTTTCACCTCAATTTTCAGTCTTTGCTTTCTCACTTACTTGCATGCCTAGAGCATGGAAAGTAAGCATTAACACAGCACACACGTATCATTTAGAACAGGTTTATTCTCTCGCTTTTACTTCTCTTCGTCTCTCTTTCTCCTTTTTGCCAATAACCGGTGCAGGTCAAAGGCTGCATCTAGTTTGTCCAGAAACCTAAATAGGCAGGGTTTTAAATGAAATAACCTGAAACCTCCAGAAGATTGAATATTTGCATAGTTGTCATAAGTTAACAAGGTGGTTTGCCCTAGTGAGAGCCAAGGGAAAGTTACTAGCTGGCAAACTGTCTGGAAAAGCAAGTGATAATGTGGAAATGTGGGGCTGGTCACAACCTGCATCTGTTCTGGTGAGGACAGAACATAAGATTACTGTCAGGGTTGGGAACAGATGATGTTTTCACGCCTCTTATGGAAATTTGGTTCTTTGCATGATGTGTGGAAGGGATTTGTTCCCAATGCCAGAAATGTCACATCCCATTTTACTTCAGCGGTTTTTGGCCAAACTTAATCAGTGAACTTACCGCTGATGCGTGATATAAGTGACGCTCTTTCTCCTTTTTGCCTGGCTACACATTACGCACACTTCCTCCCCACTCGCTTCCAAGATGCCTGATGGGTCTTCATCACAACACTCTCAGGCTGAAATGGCATCCCAGGCAGCCCCGCCTTAGGGTATAAACTACTACTACTACTACTACTACTATTACTTCTTCTTACACCTACACACATACATACCACCATACCTCCTCTATTGTATAGGTGTGTGGATGAGTAATACAGTCTAAAATCCAGGAAAAGGAAAAACACAAATCATCTGCACCCAAAACAGCGTCTTGTCTTGTTTATTTTTGTATATATTTTTGGACTATCCAAATGCAGAATGTTGTTATAAAGTCTGCTGGAGGTCCGGGGGGTTAAGGATTGTGAGAGTCAACATGTAACAAGTCTCCAGTATGTGTTGTCAGTGGAACATGGTGTAATTTGGCCTCTGGATTCCTCAACCACGTCAATGAAGTCGAGTGTGAATTTTGGGGATGCATGTCATGCTAATCGACTATAGCTCGACTACCGTAGGGATTTACATGCAACCACCCCCATAATTCCTCGAATATCCTCCCTGTCAGCTGTATATATCCGCTCACTCCTCTGTCCACTGCCTCATTTCTATCCCTGGCTGCCCTTCCACCTTGGCCCTGCATTGTTTTTTTTCTCAGTATAGTGGGTGTAGTGAGCTGTCAGACGGGGAATGTTATCTCTTGATTCTAGGTCACATGCTGAATGATTGTTGATGCTGCTCACACTGCTATAGAGGAAATGGCCTGTTTGAGGCCAGCCTGGCAAGTTTCATTGTTTTGTGCCTGTCTTTATAGCCCCAGATGGCAACTTTGGGTCATTGTACATTTTGAAGAAAAATAACAAGCTATCTTTGACTTAGCTGTGTTAGCAGAAGAGGTGGTAAAAGGGGGCGTGTTGAGCGAATGTTTGAATGTGTGTGCGGGTGCCTGTGCACACAGGAGAGAAATAGTAGGGTGAAGAAAAGGGGTATTATTTCTGCAGGGAAGCTGGCAGAAAACTCCTCTCTCCTCTTTATTAATATTTTCTGGCTGGCCCAAAATCGAGCTGCTCTGCTCGTCCCCTCCTCTGTTCATCCTTCTCCATTCCTAGGTTGGCAGACATGGTGATCATAGCTGAGCGTCAAGCCCCGCAGGCTTATGGGAACACCTAGGTGGGCGCCTTAAGGTGCGGTGCTTGCCATGTATAATGACATGTTGGGACTTGTCCCGAAGGTACTCTGTAAAGCATCCCCAAACACCAGTGTGCAGTCACACGTAGTGATGGGATCACTCTTTTCGGGGAGCCGGATGTTATGGCTCCATTGTTTCCCTAGAGCCGGCTCTTTCGACTCCGAAACTGCTCTTCATTTAGTACCACTTCTGCATGTCACTGTCTAAGTTGCATTCTTATTTGTTGCAATAAATAAATATGGAAGATTCTTCATCTGCAAGACTTTGAAATATTCTGTCATATTGATGGTTAAAAGTGTAATGTGTCAAAAATAACTATCCTACAGTTAATGGAGGGGCTCCCATTGTTCACGAGAGCCGGCTCGTATTGCTTCTGCTTGTTTGGGATGAGGGGGAAATCCATCCGTAGATGTCTCGCAATTCTTTCTTGAAATATTGTGTCAGTCATCGGAAATTTAATTGTGACCACACTGGCATATACTGTACATCATAGAGAATTCCAAATTAAAGCTGATAGCAGGTGTTTATCAAAGTCAGTCTGTTGTGTTTTCCCTGTATAAACAAACATTAGCTACGGACCAGGAATATAATTAAGGAGTCTTACGAGGGATCTTTACGGATTATTTAAATTTTATTTCGTTTTCTCATTGACAGTATGCCAGTATATGAGTACCTTAACGCTCACAGAAAGAATTTTGGCTGATGTGTCACTGAAGAAAGTACTTGTTTTTTTGTTTTTTTTTTTTGCATTTACACCACTGATGCAAGTTGTCTTAATTATAGTAAAAGAGAATGAAATGAAATTTATCACTTTGTTTAAATTACACATTGTTACATATACACTATGTTTTAAAAGTAGCAAGTAGTCTCACAATAAGGGGAAAGTATAAATCATGTACAGAAATCAAAATTTTGATGCATCAACATGCATCGATAATTGTTTTATCATCGCATTGTAGCCCTCTGACTCAGAATGTACAACTCTGGGAATCTCAGAGATTCCCACCGCTGCTTGTTCTACCATTGCTACCGTATAGGCATTTGCGCATATCTGCTATGCATTCCTTCTGTGGTGGTACAGTGAATACGAGACACATTATCAGACCAAATCAAAGGTGTTCACACACAAACAGCAATACAGACAATTGATACGAAGGTGTGCAAATATGTTGTCTGCCTGTCAGGAATGAGCTAAGTTGTCCTCTCTTTGTTTGCACCCCTGCCTTCTCTTTTATTTTACAGTTGTTGAAGTTGGAGGTCTGTTTGCCTGTCTTCCTCAGAGTAGTGTGTAACTGGATGTTTTATTGATGTTGTCTGACCTATTTTCAGCACCAAGCTAACCGAAAAAAATTTACTCATATTTTGAATCTGTACATAGGAAAGTACCTGCATGCTTGTGTATGTGTCTGTGTGTTGTGTAAATGTTTCACTCATTGTTTCATTGCAGCAAAAAAGTTCATTTTATTTCTCATTAATGTACACTCAGCACCCCATCTTGACAGAAAAAAACAGAAATGTAGAAAATTTTGCAAATTTATTAAAAAAGAAACTGAAATATCACATGGTCATAAGTATTCAGACCTTTTGCTCAGTATTGAGTAGAAGCACCCTTACACGTGTGTGTGTGTGTGTGTGTGTGTGTGTGTGTGTGTACACACACTTCTCTATGTGTGCTTATCTGCATGTAAGTTTCTAGTCAAGTTCACATCAGGACGTTTGCCATAGTACTTTGCAGGGTGTTGTTTGCCCTAATTATCAGAAAGATATTTGCCTAACCTCTTGGCTCGTGCTTGGGCTGCTCCCAAATGCTGTGTATAATGTATTTAAACTGGAATTTTTGGTTGTGTTGAGCATAGTTTTGGATAAT